GAATGCTGGCCAGAAGGAAATGTCAAGATTCAATTAAAATCAATGAAATTTTCATCACTGACTTGATTGAAATGAGATATGGCATGAATAGCATCAGTCACAGTTACCTCATCCTGGATAAGATATCAGACAGCTTGTGAGGTAAAAAGGGCTGCTTTATAGATCATCAATAATGCAGCTTCATGCACACTTTTGTCAAAGTATTTGCAGAGAGACTGTAAAACAGTTGAAGCAAATACATTTTTTTTAAATTAGAAGCTTCACTGATAGTTGAACAAATTGAAGAGGCAGAAGAACTAAAAGATATGGAACACCTGAGATTATGGAAAATGAACATTTCATTTTTTCAGTGTCTAGTACATGCTATTATTTATGAGAAGTTTTTTTCTGAATAAATGAGAACTACCCCTATTGATGAAGATGATCCAGTGTTCATTGTTGCACAGTTTTTAATTGCTTTTTTTCTATAGCAGTATATAAACAAAACCTCTTAAAGTATGTGGTAGTGTGGCTATTAGGGAGATTGATTTGACCATGGTGAAGTCACCTTCTCTACATAATTCAGAAATCTGTTTCACCACACATGACTCCAAATTTTAAAGAAAAAGAATAATTCCGTGGCTTTTTACATACTTATCAATCACCTCACTTTTAAACTGTGACCATTTATTTTTTATTCAATTTATAACCTTACAACAAAAGTTTAGTGAAAACTAATGCCTCCACAAACAGGTTCTCAACCACTCTGCTCTCAGTCTTGTGTTGCAAATAATAAAGCAATGGGAGCAGGACCAGATCACTGTTCTGCTTTGATTCATGTTGTGGACAGGGTCTGTTTATATATATCTCAGACTGCCTGTGGTCAATTCAATCAGGTTCCCTCATGCAATTATTTTCCTACCTATCAACATAAGAGCGCATTGCTGTGAAGGGCAAGTAAGAGAGGGTGTGAAGATGGGGGCCCTGCAGGTTCACCAGCACCGCAGCAGACAGAAAAACAGAACAGCCTTCAGTCAAAGGATGCAGGCAGGCAGCCAAATCCACACTGGCTGCAGATGAAGAGTTGAGATCAAATATCACCTGAGCAGCACACAGGAATAAGTTGTTGGGAGGCTGTGAAAGAGAACAGATGAGGCAAGGGAGCTAGGACCTTGATTAGGGTCTCCAGTGTCATGCAGGAGGTAGTGTGGACAGCACAGCTACGTGAAGTTTTGAACAAATGCAGAAGTCCTGTGTGGCTGACTGAGGCTGTTGTGGTTTAACCCCAGCTGGCAACTAAGCACCACACAGCTGCTCGCCCACACTTTCCCCCCAGTGCAGTAGGGGAGAGAATCAGAAGGGCAAAAGTAAGAATACTCGTGGGTTGAGATAAGAACAGTTTAATAACTGAAATATAATAATAATGGTGAAAAGGAAAACAACAAAAAAAAGAACAAAACCCAGGAAAAACAAGTGATGCAACCGCTCACCACCTGCTGACTGGTGCCCAGCCAGTCCCTGAGCAGCAATGGCTGCTCCCCAGCCAACCCCCCCCAGTTTCTATACTGAGCATGACGTCATATGGTATGGAATAGCCCTTTGGCCAGTTTGGATCAACTGTTCTGGCTGTGCCCCCTCCCAGCTTCTTGTGCACCTGGCAGAGCATGGGAAGCTGAAAAGTCCTTGACTAGCATAAGCAGTACTTAGCAACAACTAAAACATCAGTGTGTTATCAACATTATTCTCATCCTAAATCCAAAACACAGCACTATGCCTGCTACTAGGAAGAAAATTAACTCTATCCCAGCTGAAAACAGGACAGAGGCTGATGAAGCCTTTTCAGACCATCATCATATTTTTATGACAAAGGAAAAGTTAAAATCCAGCAATCCTTAGGGAACACTCAGGAAACAGAGAGATGTTTTGCCTACTTGCACCATCATTTGTACCTGGTCTCTCCAATGAGATCATTGTGAGTTAGTTCTCATATGGGGTACAAATACAAGACTATAATTTACAGTGTTTAACAGAATAGAATAGAATAGAATAGAATAGAATAGAATAGAATAGAATAGAATAGAATAGAATAGAATAGAATAGAATAGAATAGAAAGAAATTTCAGTTGGAAGGAACCTACAGTGATCATTGAGTCCAACTGCCTGACCAGTTCAGGGCTGACCAAGAGTTAAAGCATGTTAAGGGCATTGTCCAAATGCCTCTTAAACACTGACAGGCTTGGGGCATTGCCCACCTCTCCAGGGAGCCTGTCCCAGTGTTTGACCACCCTCTCGGTAAAGAAATGCTTCCTAATATCAAGTCTAAACCTCCCCTGGTGCAGCTTTGAACCATTCCCACGTGTCCTATCAGTGGATACCAGGCAGAAGAGCTCAGCACCTCCCTCTCCATTTCCCCTCCTCAGGAAGCTGTACAGAGCAATGAGGTTACCCCTCAGCCTCCTTTTCTCCAAACTAGACAAAACCAGAATCCTTAGCCACTCCTCATAGGAAATATTTTCCAGCCCTTCCACCAGCTTTGTTGCCTCCTCTGGACACATTCAAGGACCTGAACATCCTTCTTAAATTGTGGGGCCCAGAACTGCACACAGTACTCAAGTTGAGGCTGCGGCAGTGCTGAATACAGCGGGATAATCACCTCTTTTGACCGGCTGGTTATGCTGTGTTCGATGCACCCCAGGACATTGTTTGCCCTCCTGGCTGCCAGGGCACGCTGCTCACTCCTGTTGAGCCTGCTGTTGACCAGCACCCCCAGGTCCCTTTCTGCACGGCTGATCCCAGCCACTCCTCTCCCATGTTAGACTTGTGCCCAGCATTACTCCATCTGGCATTTGTTCGTGTTAAATTCCATGCCAGTGATGATTGGCCAATGCTAGCATTTTTCTGATGTTAAATACTAGCATTTATTAGCAATAAAATACTGTAGTACTTAAAATCTGAATTGGTCTAATAGAGTGTGTATATAGATATATGTAGAGAGAGAGATTACAGAAATATATGCTATTAGATCATTTTATTAAACTTAAGGTCCTCTTATTATGTGTATTTTTCATGAAAAGCTGTTTGCTCAATTATTCCTTTGGATCTAATTAGCTTTGTATTTCAAGAAAAGGAAATCAGACATAAAATAAGAAAGAATTATCTTAGTTTGAACAAAAGAAAAAGGCAGACTGGGGAAATGATCCTGTGGGGACCTGTGTGCTGGTTCCTCCGACATTTATGAGTGTTAGTTTAGATATTTTTGTAGCATATCTATAAAGAATTTTCAAAACACATTATAAATTGCAGTGTTTTCACTTCTTTTAACTCTTCTAACAACATTTAAGGCGCTACTTCAGTGTGGAGGAGATGTTTTCATGTCCCGTCTTCCAGGGACAGGTGATTGTTTAATTTCAATATTTCAAGCCCTCTTGCTTGTAGACCAATAAAGAAACTTGTAAATGAAAACTGTAAACTCAGAGTATCAGAACACAGATAAACCCTTTCTTAAGGCTTCTTTTTTATTATTTTATGATTTTTTTTTAAAATCTCTTCCTTTTAGATATCTGAAATATGTTAGCTTCCTGATACAACGAACAGATCTTATTGTAGACAAACAACTGCACTTGGACTTATACACATGTTTTTCTCCAAGGTTTCAGAATATGCAGGAAAGGGAAATGAAGATGAGTTGCTTATTTTCAATTCCTCACAACTTTGTACGACTAGTTTCTCTCCATTTTAAAATGCCTATTTTTTTTTTCCCCAAAAAAACCTGAATCGATGCCCCATTGCAACAATGAAAGGCCAAGTACTGAATGCAGTAAGCAGTTTGCCCTTCTCTCCTCTAGAGAGGGTATGTCAAGGTCATGACTCAGGCATCTGAGGCAACGGCAGTTAGCTTCAGAGCTGTGAGAGCTGTTTATTCTTTGCCTGCTCTGTTGTGTGATCTTTCTGTGCTACTGTTGACTTCAGTGACCATAGAACTGGGACTCTTCACAGAGGAGCAGCAGCCTTGTCTGTAGACCAACAGTAGCAACGCGCTTTTTCTATCCTGAGCATGCTATTCAAATATTGATGAACACTATCTCTAATAGTATTCTGGTGCAAATAACTGTTGTCACACAGGCTGAACTGGAGAAGTACTCTCTTTGTCATCCCAATGGATACCGCTCAATTATTTTAGCTGTGAGCTTCCCACGGTGATGTGCTGGAATATCTCAACACTGATTTAGGAGAGGCAGTCCTAGGTCTAAGACACTACTAAGGTGCCTGTGGCTATGAACAATACATGTTATCTTGCATCACGAGAGGAATATACTATTTTAACACAGTAAAATTCCCTTTATAAGCAATAGGCATATTAATTGAAAACAGTGCTGGGACAAAGTCCCTTTTTTGAGACTGTTAACAAATATGCCCGCATGTGTGTACTTTTGAAGAGGTGAAACGGTCTTTGCCATCACACAGAACGGAAGAAACCAATTTTAGAATCACACCATTATCCTAACAGAGTAAATGTTGTGGCCAAATCTACTGAAAATAATACACCTTTGGACAAAGAGTAACTCTGGAAAATTTCAGTCAATAAAAGTAACATTTTTGAAATATTGAAAAATATTAAAAATTTGCAATAGAATATAAAAGTATATTCAGGTTTGATTATAATAGTTTCTGTAATGTTGTTGAATGCTTTTTTATAATTCCAAGCTAAAGGACTCAATGAGTCCAGACATTTCACTCAGACATCTTTTTCTCTCCCTATCTTTCTCTTTCTGTCTGATAGGAATATCATGTGCCACTGAACCATGCATGCAATTAAGTGTTTAATGATAACCTGTCTTTTAGAGTAATTTTATCACTACCTGTACTTTGTTACCTAGAAAGTTCTCTCTTCATTTTACAGACTAAATGGTTCTTTATAACAAATGACATTGTATTTTACACCTTTTCTAAAAGATATGAAAAACTGTGGCATATACTTTCATGAGTCTGGTCTTGTCTTTTTTGTTTGTTTTGTTTAACAGATATGTTAGGTCAAGAACGAAGCATGACATTGACATGAGAATAGGGATACATTCGGGATCAGTTCTGTGTGGAGTGCTGGGCCTGCGAAAGTGGCAGTTTGATGTCTGGTCATGGGACGTGGATATTGCAAACAAACTCGAGTCAGGTGGAATTCCTGGGTAAGGCAACGTGTATGTCCCACAGTCAGAAAACATTGCCAACACAGTACACTGTTAACCTTGCCAACAGGTTAACTGTCTTACATTATTTCATCAACTATGAGCTTTTTTTTGTTGTTGTTGTTACTTTGCCGTTGGCAAGGAATTTTGAGGCTATAGTCAAAAAAGGTAGAAATGGTCAGCTTGCAGAGGCATTAGAAAAGACAAAAATATTTCTTTCTTTGCCAGCTGTGATTTCCTGAAAAAGGTCAGTGGTTGTATTCAGCCCATATAAGACTCAGAGATAGCCCGAATTTCCCAGTTAGGTGTTGGCCATTCATGAGTTTTTCCAGGCTTCATTCTCTCGTCCTTTGTATTCAAATGCTGTTGTGAGGCACAAGGTTGTAATTTATTTTATTTCATAATGCACAAAGTGTGGGAAGAATTATGTGTTCATAATAATAACAAGACATTATGGACAGCAGGCTCTCTAGGTAGTCTTTTAAATAATTTGATGCTTTAGTAGATGTTTTGAGACATTTATGTCAGCCTGTCTATATGTGAAAATACATGTTTTTCCACTGAGCTGCCTAGTTTTTCTTTGTCTGAGGTGGCTGATTCACTTGGAAGATAGAACGTTATTTCTGCCTGAACATGGCCTACACAGTAGGTTGGAAGTTGCAAAACCTAAATTTGAAGCAACAGTAGTGGTTATAGGAATCCTCTGTTCACTTTCAGTTCCACCTTCCATTGGTGAAAGATGTAGCAAAAGATCCCCTACAGCAATTCAGGTTTTGGCCATGGAACATAGAAGCAATAGCAGCAAACACCTTTACGTGGAAAAAGTATAAGTGATGCTGTCATCTTGAGGGAGAGAGGTTTTAAGTCATCAAATCTGAGTCATGTGCTATACTCCCTACACACACATCAGGATCTGTCAGAGCTGTCATGTTCCCAGGAAGTTAGAGTGATATTTGCTTTATATTGTATTTGCAAATGTGGGCCCCTTCCACCATTCCCCATAGTAGACCTTTATACTAATTTATATTCTTAGAATCAGGAGAAAATGAGACATTGCATGTTCTGAAAGCAACTTCTGTACTCTGTATATGTCACCAGTGTATAAAACTGCAGAAAAAATTTTCTTTCCCTGCTGCTTATCCCATGTGATAGCCCCAGATGACTAAGAAAGGTCACATGCTGCTTTGTTAACATGAGCAAATCAATCATCTAAGTTTCACCATCCGCATCTGCAAAAAGTCTAGTTTATTGCTGTTAATGCATGCAAGTAGAACAGCTATTAATGAATAACCCAGAGAACTCAGCACCTTGCTGTTGCTGATAAAATGCCTGGCTAGGTTGCAGTCTATTGGAGCGGAGTGATTTCCACTCCTGTATATCAGTTTGCCAACAGAACAAAGCCGGTGTGTGACAGCAATACACTAAGTCCCTCAAAACAGTGATTTACATCAGGCTTTCCTAGTGTGCAGAGCAGATTTAATAGAGCAGTTAAGTTCGATTTAGCCTCCCCTTACTTCTCCCTGCAGCCACCATTCAAATCCCCCTGCCTGCCACAATACTGAGGTCATTCCCATTCCCAGAGCTGCATTGCTTTCCTCTGTTTTGTCAGAAAAGTTGCCCTGGGGTTATGAGCAGTCTTGCTCCCAAAGTGTGAAACCAGAGCAAAGATGAACCACAGCCCTTTCTTGAGCGCACAGCGGAGGGAGGCAGCATGCCTGCCCTCATGGGGAGGGTCCCTCCACCCAGTCTGGGGGCGGGAGAGAAGGGGCTCAGCTCTCCCCCTCACTGGTTGCATATCACCCTTAGACCCCATAAGCATGGGTGATGCAGGGACAGATTGCCCCTGGGTGAAGGAGCATAAGCGGCCAGCCCAACTGTCATGGGAGGAGGCACTTGGAAGCACGGAGAAAAAGCAATCATTTCTGGTTTTCTGAGAGGGAAAAAAAAAGTGTCCACAACACCTGGGAATGAAACCATGTAAGATCCTATGGTATTATTTCAGAGACACTCTTCTGCCAGGACCCCACCTTCTAATAGTCTTCAGCTTGTGTATCTAAGTATTAATATATGGTATTGAATTGCCATAAAACCTAGCTAATAATTAATTTTCCAGGATGTATCAATGACAGGTATCATCTAAAGCTTTGGGCCTGATACGTTTTCAACAGTAGGACAGGCTATACCTTTTTACTTCAATACTCAGGTTCCTGATTTACTGCATTTGTATAAAATTAGAAAGATCTATCCATTTTAAGGTTTTTTAAGTAAGCTGTAGAAAAGGTGAAACCAGAAAATATTTTTAATCTACCAACTATTTATTAACATTTGGTCCATTTAAGGGTATTGCATCAATAGCCAGCTCCATGCTCTAGTTAAAGCTGTTATCATTTCCATTATAAAGTCCGTATTTCAGGGCTTTATAGGCTTTATAATGCAATTTTCCCAAATTATATTAGTGGAAACTCAGCACAAAGATAGTCACCCTGGCAACTAATGTATCATTTTCTTTTTCTTTCTTCTTTTTTTTTCTTTTTTTTTTTTTTAATTAGTACTTTACTTAAATCAATTTAGTCTATTTGGGTTTCTAAGAGCTAGGAAATGCATTCTTTCTAAGAGATCATATGATGTGGTGTTACAGTCCAGGCCAAAAGTTGCTTATATTTGAGAAACATTTTTTACTGGTTTTTATTGTCAGTTTTACTGACATTTGACTAGAAAAGAACACTAATCTCTGTGGGCATTGTAATGGCATGACTTCAGACAGTGAAAGTTGTACAAAACCTGTGTTGACTTCAGCCGGAAGCTGAGACAGGTTAAAAAATGGCTGAGATACAAATATTTGATCTTTTAATTATATACTGATATTTAATACTCTACATAGACCCAATTTGTGTCAAATTCTGGTAGACCTGGGTATTTCACAATGCTTAAAGACAACCAGCACTTTATCTTCTGGCAATACATGCACATCATACATGTGCTTATACCCTTTCTACTCCAGCAGTATTTTATGCAATTTAACTCTGTAGTGACATCCTTTAAGTTCCAGAAGAAAGTTCCCAAGGGGTGTGCTAGGACCATTTCCTTCAGTGGAGACAAGACAATTTGTGGTACCTGAGAAAAATGCCTCAGCATGTGTCATTAAGGAATGATCAAGAATTTTAGCTGACTGAACTTTAGGAATCTGGCTGCAAGCCTGACTTTTAAAAAGTTCCATTCATCCAAATTTGAAAAATGAGCTGATTTTAAAGTATCTTAATAGAGTCACTACATTCATTTGCTTGAGTTAGCTAGGTGCCTAATGAACATCTCCTCTTATTGCATTTATGATGCTGCATTATAAAGTATAGCACAGCTAACCATGTGGATGTGTTTTAGAGGTGCCTGCAATTTTCTCTACATGTAAGAAGTTGAAGATTTCCTAAAAATAGAAATAAAACCTACTTTTTTTTTTTTTAATTTAACTTCTTTCTGTCCTTCTCAAGCAGTCATAATTATGGTTAAGAAAGTCCAAATACCAAGCACCTCCAGAATTATGGTTAAGAAAGTCCAAATACCAAGCACCTCCAGGTTTGTCTGGAAGATATCCAAAGCCTTATCACGCTTTTGCAAAATTTGAGCTTTTTTTATGTCATCTCTTAGATTGAACTTCACTTGCAAAATCTTTTTGAACTCATCACTTAATCTTACCAGAAATTATCACCCCACCTGCCTTTATATAGTTTTGTTATTTCCCTAATTCACTTCAGATGCAATCAGACCACTAATTTCAACTGTCTAAGCTGCCATAGGTAACTGAAGGAAATTAAGGAGCTTTCACACAAACTTCTCTAATGCATACCACATATTTTCCTCTCACCACATTTACCTGAAGTGGCAATTTTCATTCACTCTGAATAGTATTTTACTCCGGAAAGTCTCCCATTAAACTATTACTGTGAGCAAAAGTATCAGGTGTGAATATCAAAGTGTTTTTCCTGTCACAGGGCTTTGTGCATTCATGAGATCCTACTGATGTGAACATGCCCTGAGAGTATTTGTCCCCAAATGAAGCTCATGTTTGTTGAATACACTATTTCATTTTCTTTACAGAAATCATCTTATACAATAGAAAACCTTCTGTTTATGTGTCATGTTAAAAATGATACAGAGTTCAGAAACTCCTTCTTACCTATGTATACTAGAGCACAGTCAGTATTTGCTACTATTTATTTCACTTATGCAGGAGAATTCACATCTCCAAAGCTACTCTGGACTGCCTGAACGGGGATTATAAAGTTGAAGAAGGGCATGGCAAAGAGCGTAATGAATTCTTGAGGAAACATAACATTGAGACTTATTTAATCAAACAACCTGAGGAGAGTCTGTTGACTTTGCCTGAAGATATTGTGAAAGAGGCTGTCAGCTCCTCCGACAGGAGAAACAGTGGAGCAACATTTACCGAAGGATCCTGGAGCCCTGAACTTCCTTTTGATAACATAGTGGGAAAACAGAATGTAAGTCAAGCTTCCTTTAATGTCATCAAATATGAACACATGTTTGAGTGCATTTCAATAACAGAAGCCTCAAAGGAGACGAATTAATCTTTAAACTTTATTCTAACATGTACTGTAACAGCAGAGGATTAAACAAATTGTTTCAGAGCAGAAATAAATCATGTATCCAAACTGAGGAAATGCCAGGAGACCAGTGGTTTTGGGGTTTTTCCAACTGAAATTAAATACTACACAGCTTAGTTTTAATTGAAGCAGCCCATAAAGAAGTAAATTAAAAGTAAGGCTAATGTTACTGTACTGGGTGGGACATTCTAGTCAGAGTGTGAATATCATTGCATAGCTTCACTGCACTGCCATCAAAGTAAAGGGATGAGAGAATTAACTTTTTGCCAGAGGAAAAAGCATAGTGTAGGTTGTTGATACATAAGGGAAAGAAAAAAGATCTACCTTAAAAAAGCACCTTGTAAAAACAGATTGTCCATTCTTCACTTGTCTTTTTTTTTTTCTTTTTTTTTTTTAATAAAAGACATTAAAAAACTTAGATTCTAAGACATAATTAATGTTCACTAGCAGGTGAGTTAGAGTCTAAGGTCATGCGTAGCTCAATAGAAATATGAGACAATAAAAACTGCTCCTGATCAGATCTTTTCCAAAAGCATTGCATGACTAATTGCTAGCAGTTCTTGTACAGTCATAAAAATAATTTGTAAAGTCTGCTTGCTTAGAGAAATTAAAGATGGAAAGGTTAAAATGCCCTCAGACACCACTCTTACCTGCATTTGCAAGATTGATGAGTCTTTATGAAAAAAGGTCAGCTTGAGTTTTCTTCCATTTTTCTGAGGGATCTGTAATGACATGATATATCCTTTCTTCTGCTGCACATCCTTAGTCCTACTTGTCTGCACTGTCTGTTGAACTTCAAGCGTTGTTGTGTGGAGGTCTTGCTTTGTCAGCCGTCTTCTGCTTCTTACAAATCTGCTCAGAAGTGATAAGCCTTCACAATCAATCAGCCCATGGTGGTCTCTTCGTCTCTTCAAACTGAACTGGAGCATGGCATATTTTGCTGTTATATAAAACACCTGTTTTATACATGTTTTATACATCTGTGTATCTGCATGTATGCTACCTTTTAGTATTCACTGTAGTTTGTTGACCTGTCTCTATACTCTCATTTCGTTAGGAATAGAGGTACAAGTGCATGCTGCTGTGAATATCTTCTGATCTCTCTCTGTTTCTTTTTCTTTGTCTTTAAGACATTCCAATTTCTGTAGTTCAAAAAATCTATGCAGAGTAAGCTATCATTTCATTGATCATTTTCTCAGCTAAACCTGACCTTGATACTAACAAAAAGGAGGAATGAAATAAAGGACTAAGGTTTTTATTCTATTATTGAACAACTTCTACTCAATAAACTAGTAAAAAGTCCATGAAAACTATTGAAATAGGTATAACTAAACAGTTGTTTTAAAGCAAATTTTTGTCTTATGACAATAAACAACTCACTTGTTTCTCACTTTTTTTTTCAGAACTTGTTGTTCTTCTGGAAATAACTATAATTTTATATTACACAGCTTTACAATAAGCTTTTTGGTGGAGACAAGATTTTAAAAATCTGTTATTCCATGAGTGATTCAATTATTAAGTAATTTACAGTTTTAAAGTTAGACAATAGGCACTACTGCTCATAAATAATGTATTTTAGCTCAAAATTCAGATGAGAGATTTAAATTATATTAGGATACAGTAGCTTTTTCCAGAGGTGTGTCATCTTTGGACAGAATAAACATGTAACAACATTAATTATGCCACCTAAAGGTCACTGGCAGCAGCAGACATTGAGAATCCAAGTAGCAGCAACCCAGCAATGAATTACTCGTATGTTTGAATATTTGCCAATACCATTTAAATGGTTTCTTTACCCAGTGCAAGTTACAACAAAATTTGAGCAACTCTTATCATGTATCTTACTTTTAGCTGTAGTTATGTTAGGAAGAATATGAAATGGTAAAATCTCTGGTGAGTTCTCTTGCCAAACTCAAATTCATCACATTCCAGATTCTTTACCTCAAACTCATTTTCTATGGGCAGCCTAAAACAGTGAATTGAAGTTGTGTTGATATGCATAAGGAACAGAATAACCACTCTTTATGTACGCAGTCACAGACATTAAGAAAACCTGCATGTGTCTACAGCACCATGTGTCTTAGCTCTGGTGCTGAGGTAAGCCAAGGATGCAAGTGTCTGCTCTGAAATTCAGACCATGCCAAATATGGATGGAGTTTTCTGTTATTGAAATAGGTGTCTGGGCTTCTTTTCTAAAGCACAGAGAGTTGGACAGAAGTTATTTTCTGTTAAGAGAGTGAAGGCCTATTTGCCCAGAGAGGTTGTAGATACCCCACCCCTGGAAACGTTCAAGGTCAGGTAGGACGGGGCTCTGAGAAACCTGACCTCGTTGAAGATGTCCCTACTCACTGCAGGGAAGTTGGACTAGATGACCTTTAAAAGTCCTTTCCAACCCAAACCATTCTATGATTCTCTAATTCTATGATTCTAAGGTCTCTTCCTCTAAAACAAATTAATAACTGATGAAGTTGGATTACTTCTCTGGGCATTCCAAAAGAAGTAGCTGAAAGCATAATATAGTCACTGTGTGTGGTGCTGGAGGTACCTGATGGGCCTACTGTAATGTGAATTAGGAAAAAAGCAAATTAAATTGTATGTGTCTTGTATAAACATATCTTAGTGATAGCTGCAGTAACTCTTGCCAGTTATCACAAAAATTATCCTTAAAGACTGTCAAGATGACAGGCAAGTATAAACAATGGAGTGGAATTCAGTTCAAAACCAAGACACCTGCATTTTTGTATCTACTGACTGTCCCAGGTGTCAATCTCCCACACAGCTCAACGCCTGAACATAAGGGTCTAGTGCTATATGCAGTTCTCTAGGGTTCCTGAGACATCCATATGACAAGAGGCCTATAAAAGACCTGTGATCATCTGGACTATCAGTTAGAAGCCAGGTAAGAAACTCTAATGTCCCAAATAGTGCTAAACACCTATGCTGAAACATGCTGAGTAAGAGCTCGATTCCACTTCTTAACTGTGGCTGTCTACAGCAGTTTGAGATACCCTAGCACACTCCAGCTGGTCCCCACCAACAACCAGCAGTGCAAGGCGTTCCTGTAGGTGTTGTGCTACATCTCCTAGCTCCATACTGTTGTCCAGGATAACCCTAGGATATCTCATCTGACCATAGCCACATATGATTGGGCAACTGAAAGTATCCAGAGTGTATATTGCCAGCAACAGAAGCTTAGACACCAAGCACCTAGACACCTTCATTTAGGTGTCTTCCTCTTGAACCAAATCCTACCTGTATCCTCACTCTTTAAACATGTGACCTTGTATTTCCCTATTTCTGTCCAAGACCTGGTGTTTGCAGTATAAAAAAAAATAATTTGAAGCCTTCCTAGAGTTTTCTAAAATAAAAATTTCCCTTCTTCTTGAGGTCAGGATGTTTGGACTTGTTGCATCAAAATTTTGCAGGAAGGAAGTAAAATCTAATTGCAGCTACCTTTTTTAAATCTCTATAAAAAAAACTCTAAAGTTGGAGGTTTATTACTTGTTTATTTTAATTCATCCTATCTTTTAGTCTCAGATGCAAGTTTGGCTGGGATTTTTCCTCACAAAACCTTGTATGTGTTCCTGTGTGATGAATGGCTATTGTCAGCATCAGCAAAGTTCAAAAACCCATTGTAGGATTCACAACTGTATCTTCCATACAGCTGTTCACAAATGTATAGGAGAGGTAATGGGGAGAACCAATATTTCTATACGTTGGCATAAAACAGTCTTAAAAGATGCAGAGCGGAGGGGGATACAGAGACAAAATGTGGTTAGAACATATTCTTGGGACAACAATTTGTATGATATTTTTCATTATTGTTATTACTAATTACAGGGAAGCTGTTTTCTTAAATATGCATATGTGTGTGAGGGAAAGAAGACTCCACTAAACTCAGCTATGAATTTTCTTGTTATCCTCTGAAAATGCAGCTTGAGTCCATTTTTGCACCAATACTACTGGCACCATTGCCATAGTGGTGACATTATGTCATGTTCATCTACCATGAATTGTAAACCACTTCATATGTTCAAAAAAACAGTTCTTCATATCAATCAAATTTTAAAATATCATTCAAAGCAAAATGTAGTCACTTACTAGGATGAATTGAGATCACTGTCCTCATGTAAATAAAATACAATGCCCAACTAGAACATTAGGGACCTTCTCCACCCTCCCTTCCCTTGGAGATGTAGCAATATGAACTAATTCCAAGGAATTAATGCACACAACATCTGATGTGATCTCGTCCTTTAACAGTGACTTCAGACCCACTTGTATGATTTCAGACACCACAAATCAATAATAGCTTTTCTACGTAGCTTAGTTTAAAAGAGATAGAAACACCTAAACTGAAGTAGCGTCTTAGTGTTAGTAATTAGTGACTTCAGACCCACTTGTATGATTTCAGACATCACAAAGCAATAATAGCTTTTCTACGTAGCTTAGTTTAAAAGACATAGAAACACCTAAACTGAAGTAGCGTCTTAGTGTTAGTAATACAGTATTTATCCAGGATTGTTTTCCTGGGATTTGGCTCTAACCTTAGAGTTTCCACCTTAACTTCAAGGCTAAGATATGGATTCAGGCATATCTGAAACTTTAGTATGAAAGAAGTTTCCTTGATACTTTTTCTTCTCCAAATGTTGATGATACTGATTTTCTGGAGGGAAGATGGGGAGATTTGAGTAGAGTGGTTTGCCAAACCTTCTCTACTGAAGTCCTTTTTCTACTAAAGCAAATAGGAAGATTGCTTTTCACTTCAATAAACAGAAGGTTTCAGTCCTGATATCCTTTTCTGTCCACATATTGGGCTCTTAAGTTACTCATCAAAAGATGGAATATGAGAAAACAAGATACTATCTGTGACCGGAGAGTCCTTGGACTTTATTTTAGGATTGTAAAGAAAGTTGTCACTTGGGGTTTGACAGTGGATACCTGAGACCCATCCTGTGTTTTAATGTGCTCTCCAAGATTTGTTAGAATGTAATTGCTGACTATACTTTGAAGACAAACAAGGGAAAGCTCACTAGATCATTTGCTGTACATAATCCCATGATCCAAAAGAATCGGCTTTCCAGAGAAATCTAGTGGTAAATCCATCCCAAGCTCCTGTTCCCAACAATGCCCAGTAGGAGATACAGCAGAAGATCTTCCCAGCAAGGACCTATGGGATAACTTTTCTCAAGCAGAAGTGTATTTCTTGTCCATAATAATTCTGAAATGTCTTATGCTGTGATGTATGAAGTTTTATATCCTTTCCATTCATTACCATCTGTTAACCCTTGGGAATATCACAGGTAGTAGATCCCATTCAAGTGGGAAAGTGCTGCTTCACTGTGGTTCGTGTCATGAAATGATACTATGAAACTGGACTGAGTTATTCTGTTTATGAAAGCAAACTCTACCTCTTTCCTGAAGGTGAAGCACCCTTCATACTATCTCCGCTAGCTTTCCTTTGCAAAGCTGTGCAAAAGTCTTTTCTTTCTTTTGATTAGACAACGAAATACTAAAGGAATAATGCATTTGAGATAATGTTTAAAATAATAATATAAATACAGTTAAATTACCCTAACTGTAATCTAGACTGACTGAAATCTATGAGTAGTGAAGAAGAACATATTATTTGAAAACCCATCCTGAAGTAATCAGAAATGTCACCTTCTTCACTCCTGCCTAACTGATCTGTTCCTTAACTACACACATCCAGTAACTTTAAGATCAAGAAAAACATCAGTACTCCTGTTTTGTGACTTCTGTTTTCTGTAGCTTCCATTCTTAGTTGCTAAAACACACCATTGAGTTAGATACCCTGCTGTGATTTTGGTGTGTACTCCCCTTATGCATGCTCTAATAATTAATTAGCAGAACCTGGAAAGGGAAATATAGTCCTAGTGTTCAGTGCAGCAGCAAACCTCCTAGTCTATATAAAGGAGGGCACTGAAGTACTCCCCTTAATGTACTGTATGTGTTTAGTGGAACAGACTTATTATTTTACACTTCTATTGATTTCATTGAATGAATTGCATGGAATGCTGTAATGGTTTGCAGTGCGACATGATCTAAAACATTGCATTTTTAACCCAAGGGGACCAGCAGGTTTATTCTGTTTGCATGTGCTTTCCCCTAGACTCTGGCTGCCCTAACAAGAAATTCAATAAATCTGCTTCCAAACCATCTTGCACAAGCTTTGCATGTCCAGTCTGGGCCTGAGGAAATTAACAAGCGAATAGAGCACACCATCGACTTACGGAGTGGCGATAAATTGAGAAGAGAGCATATCAAGCCTTTTTCACTGATGTTTAAAGACTCCAGCCTGGAGCATAAGGTAGCTGGGTCTTGGTAGCTGCATTATTCACAACTCAAATTGTAATAAATGTCCACTGAAGTAGAGAAGCTGTAGGTTCAAGCTTGGGTTGTTTGTTTTCTGGTTTTGTTTTACTTTTTCATTTTGTTTCAGTTTTCAGAAGTTGGGACTGAGCTAGAGGTCATAATAGACAGCATCATGATGCAGATGTTATAATGCTGCAATGATTACATTTCATTGTTGGAAAATGCCTACACTGAGCAAACTTTGCTTCTAAAAACCACAGCCATTTGCCGGGTTTCGTTTTCTGTCTAGTACAAGCAGTTTTCTGTCAGATGACAGGTTGCTTTGGTACAAAGAGTGGTTGAGCATATTAATAAACTGACACTTCTATTCAAAACATATATCTATATTTATATAGATATGTTTCTTTCATTTAGTCATAGGATCCATCTGATGTCCTCTAGGCAGCTGCTATGTTTATTTCAAGTCAAAACTAATTTGTCAACTCTTTGTTTTAAACATCCTTTTTTTAACATCTACTTCTAAAAGGTAAATATTATTCATGTTTTTGCTGCTTCTCAACAGCAGTATGATCTTACTAATTTCTATTTCAGTCTACATCCAGATGTAAGTTATAAGCTGAAAAAGACAAGGCAATGGGAGAATTTTCCTTGCAAACTGATGACATGGGGCAGGGTTGCACAAATTTCAAGTTACTTCATTGACTTGTACGCTATTACAAAGTAGGTCTGTGAAAACCACTGGAAAAAAAAAAATCTCATTGAAGTGTATTTAAACCCTTTTTCACAAGCAATCCTGCAGAAGGAAAAAGAAAGTTCATTTGCAAAAAAAGAAAAGATTCAATTTCCCTATGAAGATATTTACGACACTGAGACATAAGGTAGAAACCCCAAAGCCAAATTAGCTATTACTGCTGCAACAGAAGATATGAAGATATTTCTTTCAGTGCAGTCATCGTGCAAAGCTGACAGGGACCCAGAGGAAGTGAAATCCAAGATTTCTGATATCCCATGAATTACCATCTAAAGGCCCAAAAGTCATGAGTAATCTTTAATCTTTTCAAGGCACAAGGTCAAAAGATAAGGTGAAAAAGTCTAGACAAAATAGCATTTAACCTAGAAGGTGGGGGATGGTATATTAGAAATTTTTTTTGTGCAAAAGAGGAAACAGCCTGGTCACAAAATGCTTGCTGAATGAGCAAGCTAGTCAATGGTTCACCTGGTCTTACATTATATTTAATAAAAACAAGCACTGAACATGGGCTGGAGTAAAGGGACACTGCCCAGAATCAGATCCTCTATTCAGAATATAAACTTTCTTGTCATTTTAGACTTCACAATTATCAGCCACAAGGAAAATCTATACAGAAAGGGTAGGTTTTCATATAAATGCATTTTAAGCAAGGGGGGGGGACGGGGACACCCAAAACCAAACCATGCTCTAATCCATCACGTTACACAGGTCAGATTTTAAATATTAATAACGTTTTGAATTGAATCTGGATGACAAAAAGTCTATTTAAAAGACAACATTTTGAGCAGTTTTGGGACATTTTCTTCTCAGTACAACATTTCCAATGCCAACCTGTGCTGCAGTGCTTAGAAAATGGTGCTTTCATTCAATATTTCCTTAGGTGTTAGTCCTAACCACTAAGCACAGGCAATACAAACACAAAATCCTTTCTGTAAAGTGGACTGATTCTTCTTTCTGTCCTCTAAATTGGGCTGGTTTTTAGCATTACACAGGAATACAGTTTTAAAAAATATCAGCACTGTTTTACTTGCTCTGGTTCATCCACCTCCAACAGCTGCATAGTTGCTGGTCAGCAACCACCTTGCTTGTGTTCAGGGTGCCAGGGTACCACAGGTGCCTCAGAGAAGGATGGGGAATGCACCAGGATGCAAAGGGATGGTGTGCATTAAGGAAAGGTGAATCACAGTGTCCTCTTCATTATAGGCAGGGGCAATGTCTTGTGGGACAATGTTGGAAATGTCCCTTCACTCCTTGTTTGCCTGTGCAGTAATTACAGGTTCGTCCTGGTAGCCTTAGTGTTAGACCACAGCCTACAGACTGTCATGAAAAAAATAATGTGTGAACTGGTTTGCTACAGAAAATAGCTATTTCCTCCATGTTATCTTATATTACTATTGCTTTCCCCCTCTTCCTGCCCATTTAGGAAATAAAACAAAACAAACTCAGATTAAATTGGAGTCTCATACAGCTATTTCAAAAGCCTTTTCCCTCTGCTCTCACCACTCTTAACCTTTCAGTCTGGAATTATGCTTTCTTCTAGTCATTAACATTTTGCAACTGCTTACATGACCTTCTACATCAGCATCTTCAGCTGCTCCCTGCAGTGTTGCTGAGCAAGTAGACAGTATAAGTCTATGGACCTCCCATCTGACACTGCTGTTTTCATTTGCTGATACCTTCTGTTCAGAGCAGTGGCAGCTTCAAGTCAGAGACAGCTCTGAAGTAAAGCAACTTCTATGTAAAATCTGGTGCCCTCACATTTATCCATCACACTTTCAGGCAGTACTGGCATCTGCCTAATACTTATTTCTTTTATCTGTAAGTAAGTACTTCTCAGCTCAGACCCAGGTATTCTGTAGGCAGAACAACCAGTACCCATAGCTGAGATCCCAATCAAGAAGTGTTGTTAACCTTGTTCAATGAGGATTATGTTAATGGTCTGTACCTCAAACCATAGAGAAGTGAGTAACCATATGAACAATAAACTATATTTCTTCCTCCTGCATTAGTAACAGGACTACCATGCCATGGGATTATAAATCTTTTGGGGTGACTTGCATAGATCTGAAATGACATGCTGGACTTCTGTTTAAACAGTCTGGGTTGTTTCAGGTTTTCTTCATTGTAAAACAATTGCAGACAGCAGATTTATGCTAGCAATGAAAGTGCTGGTTTGCTTCCTTTAAGATTTCAAAAGGTAAAAAAAACCAAGTAATTTCTGGAATCAGCATGCCCAAAACTACCATAGGAGCTAGCACAGCTCCTGGTTTACAGTGGTTTAAATGACTGGTATATCACAGCAATTGAAGCCATTGGTACATCTTCCCACTCTTATCTCATTGCTCTATGTCCTTCTTGGTGATAGAATAAATGTAGATTCCACAGCAAACAATAATGGTTGCATTAGCGAATGGGTTATCTGCCTGAGGCAGTAGGTATATTTCCACATGAATTTTATAATACTTCATTTTTCAGAGAATTTGTTCAGGATCCCCACCTGGTGTCGATGCACCACCACACCTGGTATAATTTATAGTCTCTTTACCCAAATGGGCTAGTCATTACTAACCTGTATTTCACTCATTAGCACTTGATATCTTATTTAGAGACTAATTCACTCTCAATTTTGCTGGGGGTTATTTTCATAAATAGGATGTAGGCAGACAGAGCAGAAGACTCATCAAAGGAGACTAGTTCTAATGGTAGCATGAAAATATACTAAGGGTTTCCAAATATGTAACAGTTCATAAGGGAAAATGATACTATTTTAGAATATTTTCAATAATTAAAAGATATCGTTATGATGCTCTACCTTAATAGCAGTGACTTGGAAATATCAGTACCATGTACTTTCATACAGGATAAAGCATAGTAACAGGGCAGGGAATTTTACATGCTGGTAGGATTTTTGTTAAGGAAAGTTTCTAAGGTAAAGATTTGTATAAAGATATTCTAAGTCTTCCTGCATATTTATATTGGGATCATAAATCAGACTGGGCTTAGAGATGAAGTGTCTACGTATTTTCTGTGAGGTGAGCACACTGAAAATATCAAAAGTGCTTTGAATTTCACACTACAGGTTTTCTTAGGTCAAATATTAGACCTAAATATCTGAGTTTCTCTGTTTCAGAATTTCTGGTGGGTAAGATAAATAGAAATTAAATGAGTAGGAAAGAAATTTGCCTTTCCTGTGTGCTGTATCCTTGCAGACATGGGTCTCATCTCTTTCCTTCAACCCAGAAACTTCTAGTGGCAAGAAGGTCTTCAAGAAACACTGAGCAAACTCTGGGCCTGTTCAGCATCTTCTTTTTTATCATTGGTCAACAACTGTATCTGTGTTTATCCGTTGGTCTTCTCAGTAGTTCATCCATCTCTTCTCCTTCCCTGGGCTTCCTGATAGATCTTCTGTCTCTCCCCTGTACTGCAGAAGCTTTTCCAGTGGCACAAACTCCATTACTCTGAAGAAAAAAACCATGGTCTCCCTTTTCATCCATAAGGTCCTATCTGAGTCAAAGAGCAGCAGTGGGGATAAGACCAAAAACCTTTCTCCCCAGTACACAAACACTTTCTCTAGGTGAACATCTAAAGCCTGTTGTATTACCAGTACTCCGCTTTCAAAGAGCCCTGGGAAAAGAGAGGAGAGGTGGGGAATAAGCAGCATCACTTGGCAGAGGAAGCGGCCTTTCTTACACAAGCTCAGTTCAGCTAGCTGGCTGGGCTAGCCAGTAGACAAACAGTGCCCCCCAACAGTCCCATGGGAAGCAGGGTGAGCCTTCACTATGCCATGAGCAAGTCATGCCAGTGCAGGTAGGTCTGTGGGATGTTGCAGCTATGGTTTTCATTGTAGAGTAGGTCACATCACCATTCTTCCTACCGCTCCACACTACTTTAGTTGGGTACATGCCTGCCTCCCCATACTTACGGAAGTTCCTTGAGGCTTAGTCTATCCTTCAATTAATTCTCCAAGTCATTAAGGGGCAGACTGCCACAGAAGTGCTGCTTTATTCATTGGTGTTTGTGCTGCCTCAGAGCTGCCAACAATTTCTCATCACAACATTGTTACTGATTAGACCACAGCATTCACCCTTTTCACATAATGTTCAACACAGCAGGCAATTCCATGTTTGTGTTTCATTCACTTAGTTTGCTATAATTTCCCTAAGGAACAGTTGGGATTTCGTGATATATTTTAAGGAATGTACCTTTCTTTTTCCCTTTGGTTCTTTTTGTGCCACAACCAAAAATAGCCCTGGTCCATTATTTAAGAAGACTGATGCAGTTTTTCCTGCACATGAAATCGGGGTCAGTGCCCCTGTGCTTCCAGCAGCAAAATGAAGTGGAGTTGCCTGTGAGCACCATCAAAAATCATGTCAACATGATACTGCTTCTGCCAACAGCAGACACAGGGTATAATCACAGCAGAAGAGTCATCAAAATGAGGGATGCCAACAAATAAACCCCCTCTCTTACTCATAACAAATGGGAACAGGGAAGAGAGAAGACTTTTTCCCATTTCAGGAGCTTGAGACTGTTTTGACCAGATGTTTCTAACTGAGATGAAGTCCCTACTGAAGCTTCATGTAGTGAATATAGTCTAAGTCTAGATAGGATCTTCCTTCAAGAGCAGATTAGTTATAAAATGCAGCTCATAGCTGAACTCTCTCAATGTATGTTCCTGACACATTTCTTAATTGGTTTTAATTTTTCTCAACTATAATGCTCTCTAGGCATTTATTACTGCAGTTTGCCTTATTTCCAAATTGCTGGAGAAAGATTCTGATATCTGATATCTCTTTGACTCTGATTTCCTTTTGTTCTGCACATGTAACTCTTAGCTCCTTCAAAACTGCAAGAGATTAAATAAAATGGAGTTATTATTCAGAGGAGGAAAAATGACTTGGGATTTTTTTATTAGGTGAAGAAAATTTAGTAGCATCAGTATAGGGTAAAGAGATTTACAAAAATATGTCTATGGACCAATCTTCATCTGCTGTAAGCAATTAGAGTTTAACTGAATTAGCAGTGATAAATACCAGCTGAGGACTTGGGTTACATTTCCACTTGAACTGATCCACTGATGTATCCATTACTCCTTTTCTTGGTAACTCCTGTAAAAAGGGAACCTGCTAGCATTTTCAGTGGTTTGATATGCTGGAGGAAAATACTTTTGCAATAAATCATAAGAATAATGCACCTCAGATGGTCTTTTGCATAATACTACCTTCATTTTCTCCTTGGAGTACGCCCATATTGCCAAGTTTCTGCACAGCCTCTGGATAAGCTAGGATACATGACCCTCATCCCAAATAGTCATGCAATGTCCCAAACTACATACTTTTCTTAAAGAAGAAAAGTAAAAAAGAAAACAGAATGACCCCCATTTGGCAAGCATGGAGACACATCCATGACATCATGCATGCAGAGTCACAGCTGACTTCAGAGTTTGTCTTCAGGTGAGGAAACCCACCTCTGGTTAAGTTATTAAGTATTTAGTGTTCTACTCAGCAGCACAAGCCCCTAGTATCTACCTGGGGATTTTTAAAGCAAATAAATTTGAAAAGAGGCAACCAAGTAAAACAACTTTGTATTGCAAATTACAGAGTTTTGCTCTTTTGGATAAAGTATTTTACCAATTATTAATGATTTATTTGTTGTGTTTATTTTTAAAAACATATTAAGGTTCATTAGTGTATTAGCTCTTCCTGCTAATTTCTGCAAACTCTCCTATATGCATCAGTGTTTATGAAACTACTGCATGGGTTAACAGCTAATTTACTCTTCTGTTTGTTTCTTTTTAATTCTAGTATTCTCAAATGCGGGATGAAGTGTTCAAATCAAACTTGGTGTGCGCATTTATTGTTCTTGTGTTTATCACCGCTATCCAAAGCTTACTTCCTTCTTCGAGGTAAATACAGAAATATGTCTCTATATAGCTGAAGGCGCTTTTGGGGAAACAGTGGGATAACATTTCTAGGATTGACGTGGAATGAACCAATAAAATCTGCTTGTTCCCCAAAAGTGTTGGGAAATATTTTTTCACTTTTTCCCAATATTAACTACTTTTGTATCGCATTGTCTGCAGCTGCAGGTTTTCATGTAAGACAGCAGCATCTACTGACATTTTGTTGTTATGTTTTTAAGCAGAACCCCCCCTGAGATAAGTGGGAACTTTGGGTTACAAAAGTTTGATACAATATGGCCTTCTGCATCCAGTGTTGAAGTAAAACGTGATCCAGACTTATAACAGTGTCTCTGCTAAGTGACTGGTAATCACCTTGGGAATCAGTGATTGTTTTGGCTTTGTTTCTTACATGCTACATAAGAAAATTGTACCGTATTGCTTTGTTGCTGATGATACGTATTACCCAGCTGGAGAAAGCAATTTTGTGCTATTAAGAATCAAGGAGGTGATCTGCTAGGTCTTTTCTCACTTCTGCTTTTATCTGGGGCTGACCAAGCAACAATTTCCTATCAAGGTGACAAAAATGTGACACAGCTGAGACCTCTGTGCCCACATGTTTCACACAGTTAAACCCATCAGTTCCATTTTTGTCTACTATTTAATAGTGTGAACACAAGAGTGTGTACAAAGACTAAGGTCAGTTTTCTAGCATCATAGCAGAGCCAGGAGAACATGACTGCCACTAAAAGATGCCCCTGGTCCCATCTGGTCTTTGACAGAGCAAGTCCTAAAATGGATGCCCAGATGAACATAATTCTCAGGTGTTTTCTAACACTCAGATGAACCTTAATTTATGGCTGCCTGTAGAATAACCTTGAAAATACAGTATTTGTATAAGAAATAAGACATTTATTGTGTTACAGTAATGCAGCAATATTTCTTGGATCATCTCTGGAAGACCTGGTTCACCATGTTTATGTCTAAGAATACCAAAATGGTGGTTAGATGCAGGCAGGCAACTGCACTCTGCAGCAGTGGTGTCCCATGTATTTTGTAGGTTCTCAGCTGGGGAAGTACTCAGAGTAGTACCTAACCTTCTGCTGTTCCTTATGTGTTATATTGCTCTAATACTAGTAAGTTTGCTTGCTTTTTTAAGGTTCTTCTTCCAATACACATTCAAAATTCTTCACTTCTGGTAGCTGTTATTTTTATTTTTTTCTCAGTATGTACAAGAAGATTTATGGATCTTATTAATGGAACCTGCTTTCCAAAAAGATTTCTGCTGCTATATCAATCACTGCTATACCAGCAGAAAAACATGACATTTTTTCTATCTGCACAGATTCATCTCTGTTAATTCTCGTGAGGGTGTCTAGTGCCATTGGAATTAGGGAAGAAGGATTCACATAACCACATTGCCTGCAGCTGTCTCATTTTCTGGTTTCCCATCTTGCCCAGGAGTCTTGTGTTTTTCCCTGCACTTCACAAATGCTTTGTGGGCCTTTTTGTCACTGAATGTTAAAGAAGCTGTAAATATAAAAAGGTTCAAATAAAGACTAGATAAATTCCTATAAGATAAGATCAGCAGAGGTTTTTAAACAAAATTATGGAACCTTGGCCTCAAGAACACCCTTAAAGATTGATTGCTGGAACCTGGGAAGATGTTTAGGGAAAGAATATTTACCACTATCCATTTTGAGAGAGATTTGGAGCCACATGGGTGCTTTATAGCAGTTCTTATGTTCTTTCAGGAGTTGTAATCACTGTCAAGATTTAAGAAGTCAAATTTTGGTCTTCGTTTTTCAAGTTCTGATAATCTGCTTCAAAATTGTGTTTCAGTCTTAAAAAAGCATGCCTGCTAAATGAGCGCAGGTCAACAGCTGAGCAACCCTAAAATAACAGGATGAGGGGTTTTGAGTAAGAAGGTTTCAATATGCTGAAACATATCGAATAAGAAAATAATCTGGAAGTTCAGATTTCCTGAGTTCCAGTTCTAAAAACCATTCAAGGTATGAGCACATGAACAAGCCATCACAAAGTTAGGAAGGATTTGGATTCAGAGAGTCTTGGAGATAACTGCATCCTCACCTGTTATACCTCTAGTAGATATCAGAGAAGTAAACTACCACAGTGGAAAAGCATGGACATACTTTCCATGGAACAACTAACAAACTATAATTCACACTCCTAATGGTAACTTACCCATTTCCTAACCACATATTTAAGTGTCTTTCAATGAATTCTTCAGAGCTCTGTTGAACAAGGATAGAAATTGTATTTGCTTAAGTACATGTTTGAATATTTTTTTGAGCTGAGTCTTCTGGCAATTTCTGGAAATTCAGTGAAAGAAAACATTTAAATCATTGTAAAACATATCTTACTAAGGATCTTCAGGGAGATTCCCAGATAGGTTGCATTAGTCTGTGTGTTAAAGAAGGGAATCATCTTTCTATTATTGCGTCTACTGTGTATGGGAGTTTCAGAATTTTATCTCAGTTTATATCTGTCTCCCGCAGGATAAATATTTGAGCCATTCATACTTTTCCCTGACAGAGCAGGCACATCACTGAATTTTAAAATCTTTGCAATAGTTTTCATTCTTTGAAATATTGAGTTGGGGAAATTACTCTAAGTGACATAAATTAATGCCATATTTCTGTTGTAATTATCCTCTGTGAAGCTATTAAGCTACATTGCCAACCTTGCAGTGATTCATCTTCTCCATCTGAAAGGCTGGGGAGTTTGATTCATTTCCTGCAATGAACTTTCTATATGCTCACATGGGCAATAGATCATACTAGAGAAGACTGCTGAACTACTCTTATTTCTGTCAGTTTTTCACTGGGTTATTCTTGGGGGTTGGGGGTGGGAAACAGACTTCAAAGTGTTGTTCATTTAAACATCTGTACCTTCTGTTTTATGTAAGTTTTCCTTCTGGCTCAACTCTTGATTTGCTACTGTGCACAAAGAAGAGGGAAGGCAAAAGCTCCATTTCAAACTTCACTTGATCTTGACAGTAAGGGAACCCCTAGAGAGAAAAGCAAATTGTCTTGAATCTCTTCTTGAATGAAAAGGGGATCCAACCCAGGTGTCCAAGTTCTGGGAGAAGTTCATGGACAGAAGAATAATATGGCTGTTTGTTCCTATTCCTCTAACCTTCCTGTTCCTCTAAGTCTTCTGCTGTACTTGATTCTATCAGCATGCTGCCTACAAAATCTTAGCACAGATACCAGACTGATCCTCTAGGAGGTCATAGGTGTGCAGACTTTAGTTTTGTTTTTATCTCAATCAGGCTGAGATTGAACATCAATGTTCAGCCGAACAACTACAGTGGAAGAATTTTTATTGCCTATATATTTATTATGAACAAATACAAGGCCATGGTTTCTCAGGCACCTAAACAGGTTATGCTGCATTTTGGATTGATATCCCAGACTTAGGTCCCTAGATGCTCCCTTTATAGTACCTTAATTCAATAGTATTGGGTCTTACATGTAGAGTTTGGGAGTCCAAAATAAGAACTCCCGTTTAGCGTCCTCAGGTCTGACCTCTTGAGGCTTGACCCTAAATTTTTTGAAAGCCTTAATTTGGTTTCATTTAGAGCTGGGTGAGGCTAGGTCTGCAAAATTGGTAGGCTACATCTGCATATATAGATTGTCTGTATATATCTGAGATACAGACAGAAACTATCAGTTCCAAAGAGGATCTCAGTCATTTGACATTGGAAAGAAGGCAGCTATTGCCGAATACTGCTGTAATGTGGGAAACTGAAGGAATTAATCTCACCTAACTATTTGTCAGTGTCCATATCCTGGGTTCAAAGTATAGCCACTGGAGAACAGCTCAATCAGTGGATCTCAAAGTGCCTTCCACCTGAATAAATGTAAGAGACTGCTGTGCAGTGAGATGAATCGTATCCTAAACTACACAGCTCTCTTGATGAGCCCTCTTGACTCTCCTGACTAGTTCTCCATGAACATATTGCCAGCTTTTCCCTGACTTTATTGACTGTCTCTCCCTTGGCTGTGTATTTCTACAGACAGAAGCTGCTTTCAAGGCATTGTTGCATTGTGTCTCTACTTGGTAGCCTTGGGACTTTCAGCAAGTCCTGAGACTCTTCCCACAAAACTTTTAGTCACACAGGATGAAATCTGTGGCTTATGCTCCAATCTTTGTTTCCTCATTATTCACTCTTCCCTTCATAATACAGTTTAGTTTTACTGGCTACATTGTTCCTTCTTTCAAAAACAAGCTTTCGTCTGGGTGAGCTTGCTGGAGAGGGTGGGACTTTTTTGGGAAGCTCCACGGTGTCCTGTATTCAAGTCACATACAAAACTCTGACAAAGCTTGTTGGTGTGAAATGCTGACCCAAGTGTAAGACAACATTTCGTACCGATGGTACGTCATCAAACAGTGTCAAAGCTAATATTACCACATGGAAGCTCTCAAGGGAAGTTAATGTGTAATTCATCTTCTTTCAGTTCATTAGGGACAGAACTTCCATTTTGATATTTTTCACATTTTATTTCAAAATGGTTTGTAATATAATTTAGCACTACAAAAAATATCACTTATGCATATATATCTTACTTATAGTAGTTCAGACATGTTCCAAAAGAAAAACTCTTTGCTAACTACAGCCTTGTTTTCTGTTTGTTATCTGTTTAACCCATTTTCTTTTCTGCACTCCTACACTACAAGTCTCATTAATTTTGAGGTTCTGAGAGTAGGAGCTGTACATATAAGCCATAGCTGCATTACAGTAAATTATTCTGAGGCTTGCATGCTGTTTTCAAAATCTTATACCTTGATCATACTTCTGTGTTACTTTGATTAATTTTAGTAGGTGATAGACAAGAAAGCTTGAAGTAAATTGCATGTTATTCTGTTCTGATATTTTAAAGGAGTCATTATCCCTGCAAGTCTGTTTGGATGATCAAAAAGGAATAATGTTTATGGAAATACTGTCTTTAAAACACCATCAGATTTAATGCAGATCAGTCTCTATCATCACAGCTGAATTAGGGCATTAAAAATCAGAACATTCTTGTAAAAGACAATATTTAAAATTAAGCAGTATAAAGCATACAGGAGTACAGTTCTATCCTTAAATCTCTTTCAGTTTAACACCTGTACCTCATACGTTATTTATGTCTTTTCCTTCAACATGACCAACATTCTCCCACATATACTCTGACTTATGTCTACTTTTTTCCAAAAAACATATTTCCTTTTGAACATAAACATTTTCATTTATGCTGTTTTCTCAAGGTATTTTCTACAAACATCAGTACTGTGAGGAAGATGTACTCACAGTTTTCACATAAAGTACCCAGTGCATCTTTGGTGTCCCCTTGGTGCAAATATTTTGGACTCTATCCATCAGCTGCAAGCATGGCCAGAGTTAAGAAATGCCAGTTCCAACACAGACCGATTCTCAGGCTTGTTGTGCTATGTCCATGCATCCTCTCCTGCCATTATCTCAGTGTGGTTTCCTCTTCTTGTTGGCTACATACCTATTAGCTTATGGTGAAACTTTCTAGAGTGAAAGGTTTAGGTAAGTTAATAGGCTTAAACCACAGATCTGAATTCAACTCTGTATGAGTTTAGAATTTGCTCTTCTAAAGCCATATTTAAATAGCCTGAAATTGAGGAGAATTTCAGGTAGGTTGGGATATAGTCCATTTAGATTCAGGGAGTGGATCTGGCTGACCTACTGAAAAATGAGGAAAGAAAAGCTATGTTGATGTTTTCACTTCTATTTCCACCTTACACCCTTAAATTTGTCTTGCTGTAGGGCACAAGTGTACAAATAGCATTGCACCCTACCCAAAGAGGGGTATGTGATGTCTAGCAAAATCTGAAACTTCATTTTTTCAGTAAGACAAAACATGTTTATAGAAGGCTTAATAAGCAGAGTACAGCTTACATTCAGCCACCTGGAAGTGCAGAAGTCTAAGTGGAGCACCCTGATAGTCCAATTTCAAAGATTTTTTTCTGTGAGACATTATGATTAAATCACTGTAGTGTACTGGCATGTATACAACTAGGTTACTAGAAATTTTAATTACTTAATTCAAAGCCTCAAGTTTAATCATTGTCCTTATAGCAAAAAGGCAAGGGAAAACAGAGTGAAGAGGGGAGATGTTTGCAGGAGCAGTGGAGTTACTTTTATTTTGCATGGGTTTGATCTTTGGGAAAAGAGACACAGAAAGACAATGACTGGCACAAATGGGGGAAAAAAAAACTGACTTGTGAAGTGCTGAGTGCTTTCTTCTCAGGGAAGTGAACCAATTTACCACATTTCCCAACCACACTGACTACTTGATTGACTTCAGGTCCCAGATTTAAGCAAGAAAAAGGAATAAATTTTAAAAATATAATGAAAGTTGAACTAGAAGAAATTATGTTTTTTAACGGTTTATTCGAAGGCATTGAACTGTCTATTCTGTGTATGCACTTAACAATAATCGATTAAGGAACACATTTGCAAGGACAAAGTGTATAGAGTATGCCAAATGACATGTTTTATTTAAACGTCTCAATCATAGAACACCTTTTCATCTGCTTTACATTTTAAAGGGATTCCATGAAAACAGTAGAAGAGTTCTTTTGCTTTTTTAGAAACCAATCAGATTCTTAGCTGCAGTTGATCCACTATTGATTAAAATGAGGGGAATGTTGCATTTCTGTAATTATTATATTTGGACTTACTCCAGAAAACAGGCTGCATTATTGTTTCTTCAGCAGCAGTTTCTCAGCAAGAAACCATGTGAAGCTATGGCAGACCTGTAGAACATGAACAAATCTTTGTTTCTCTGGGTTGTTTTCCTAGACTAATTGTCTCAGATTTATGACAACTGATTTTTCCTAGTCTTAACTGTTTACACATTTATTTTTATTAGCAGTGGTATTGTGCTGAATTTTAATGCTGGATTTTCTTTTTTTTTTCTTCCCAGGGTGATACCAATGGTCATTCAGTTTTCTATTCTGATTATGCTGCACTCTGCTCTTGTGCTAATCACTACGGCAGAGGATTACAAATGTTTACCCTTAATGCTCCGGAAAACTTGCTGCTGGATTAATGAGACCTACCTGGCCAGGAATGTCATTATATTTGCATCCATTCTGATTAATTTTCTTGGAGCCATCATCAATATTGTAAGCTTATAGGGAACCAGGGAATATTACACAGGAAAAGATGATTTATGAATTATTAAGCTTGCTACAGGACTTACTAACTAATGTGTTTATACACCAGCTATGATTTAAATATTAAGGCAAAGTACCACAGCTTCAGGAAATTCAATCTGTTGCTTCAACTCTGTATTTCTGAAATATCTAATTATTTCTCCCTCATGAGTATCATCTATTTTTAAAACCCTTTTGCTACTTTCTGTTTAATATATCTACCCTTGAGGACCATTTGTAATTTTCTGATATGCTGATATACTTTCTTAAAGACTGTCAATCCACGTAGTGCTTACAGATATTAAATTCCTCATCTCACAGTTCTTCCATTAATTAGGTTACCAAAAAAAATGAAAAGTGTCAACGAACGCAGAAAAAAACTCCAAAGAAAGGGCAGAGCAGGCCAAGCTGAGCCAGTAACCACAGCATGTAAAAATAAGTTAAAAGTGTAAATTCTAAACATACCTTGCCTTGCTCAGTTAGTAGTTTGACAAACCCCTTTGGCCCGAATTCACCTTAGCTGAAGTACCAAACTATGGGTATAGTCACTCTTAGCTTTCTTTATAGTCAGCACAGAAAAACAGGCACCCCAAAGATTTCTTTTGATCATACTGGTCCCAATAAAGAGATTTTACTCTCTCCACTGCCCACACAGGGAGGTTAATCTGATTTGGCTCCTAATTTACACATCTCCACTAAGACTCTAAAGTGTGACAGATCTAGAGCAAACTTTATCTGTGTATCTGTGAGGAAAGGCATGTACCAAGCTTTGCTTAGCAGCTGTGGTTAGATAAAAATATTGGTAATTGAATACTGTGGGCCTAGCTCTATACAATGTCACAGGCTAAAAGAATGAGGTCTTGTATTCAAATGCAATAGAGCCATGATTATCTGGATGTCTTCAGAAATATGAGAGAGCTTTGCATGAATTAAGCAGATTATCATGTCAGACAACCTGGCAGGTGTTGAAGCCTGCGCCAAGAAGAAGGTAAATACCTCACTGATAGATTAAAAGTAACATTTTCATCACTCTCTCCTCTTGCAGAGCACCTTTTGGCTATGGGTGTAGCAGTGCTTTTTCATCTGAACTTTATTCTTTTTAAATATTTATTTCCTTCTAGATAAGACCTGGAAAGCATTTAGCAACAGTAATAACAATAGCAACTATAACAACACAACAGCAACAATAATTATCCTCTAATAATTAATAATAATTATGATCATTGGAGTAAGTATGCTGAAGTCTGATGCTTCAAGGGTTTGCCTCGTCTTTTGCTAACAGATAGAATATTTTATTACGTTCTATTGCTGTCATTCTTCCATGACTGAATTTGGGTTGCCAATATGCAAGGACTCAACATCTGTCTGGTTTTTTTAGTGATACCATGCAGTCACTGATAGGCGAGTTATTCAGAGAAAGAAGAATGTAGCCGCTCATTGCTATCCTTACAGAGAAAATATAAATATGGTAAATGACAGGAAGTTCAATAGGGCTAAAAACTTCCTGAAGGTAAGGACAGTGGTACATTATAGTATAGAGCACTAAGGAGTGTTGTAGAATTTAGTTTTTTAAATCAGGTTTGACAAATGTCTCTTAGGAAAGAATTGGTAGAATTAATCCTGCTCTTAAAACAGGATGATCTCTAATGGCCTATCCATACCCAATTTGCTAGGATATGATGATAACAAGATTTTCCCCTGACTGGTTGTGGATTATTTTTTAAGATTGTGTCCACTGTGATCTTGTGGGATGGCTAATCCAAAACCAGTCAAAAGAAATATAATTATTTTTACTGTCATACAAGTGGGTTTCTATAAAACAATAAACAGACATATATTTAGAACGTCAATGACTTGAGTCACTGAGTCCTGACCTCTACAGGAAATCATAACATTTATATAACCTCATCATTTCATATGTCAAAATTCTGCCATAATAACAGTTTGCTCAGGAGGGACCTACATGCATTTAAGAACAGGTAATGTAGCTCAGCCTTGCAGCTATATGTGTCCAGTGAGTTCAAACGTTGCCAGCTGGAGGGAACTGAGACTCACATGCTTTCTAACAAGAGCCATAAGGCTTTGGTTTCACCAGGGGGGCAAATGAGTCTTGTGGTTCTTAACATCAACTGCATTCTTATTGTTATAGAATTAGAATAAAGTTTCTTAGAATAAAGTTTCTGATCCTGAAGGTCTTTTTAAAAGACACCCAGAGTGGTTCTCATGTCACTCTGCCCTGCAGAGAGGTGCTATACACCTCATAAACTTTCAGAAGGTACCATTAACTATCTGTTGTGACGGAGGACTGCACAGACAACCTAGATAATGTTGCTGCATTGCAGGGATGACTGAATTGCTGAAAGAACAAACGAGAGACTTCCAAGTTCAAAATTCATTAGAATTTAATTATAAGAAATTGAGCCTCATTAAACAAACTCTCTAACTCTGCTGGAAAGAAAGACAGGGGAACTAGCTTGTACATACCAGGTTGATGAAATGACCTAGTATAAACATCCAGATTGGATTAGTATATGTATCAGGAGACTCCATCTGCTTTAACTGTCAAAATATGAAAAGACTAATGATTTTTTTTTTCCTGTGTTCTAAGACCATGATATATTGCAACTCAACACTGCTGTTTTGTTTATATTTAACACACTTGGTTTGAATTACCATTAAAATGAATGCAGGTCATAACAGCAAAAGGCAGTATTACATCCTCAAAACCATTGTATCATGAATGAATTTTCATTCCCTTCCATTCTAGGCATCACAGTTGCAGTTCTGGGACCACATTATGTTTTGGCACAAGCCGATTCTGCATGGTGCCATGGGATTTTTTCCCACATCTAGAAGGATAACACCATCCATAGCAACATAGCAGAAAAAAACTGCTTGCAGACAAGTGCACACATGCAGTCTGATTTTATGCTCCCAATTTAATGATTTTCTCTATAGTTCATAACAAAGTATAAACAATTTGAGAGGGCAATTCTTAAGAGTCCAGCGTCTGTCCTCTGAAACTCCTGGAGAAGCTCATCTTTCACCTTTGGCAACAAGAGACCATAGGAAGGCTACTCAGATGCTGAATGTCTGTAGTATGAATAGCTCCCTCCTTTCTATTTCATCTCCACAGTATGTCCTCTTACTGCTAATTTAGTCCTTAGTGCCAGTTAGGGAGCTGGCATGGAGAGCAGCAGGTCAGCCAGTTCCACCCCTGAACCCAGCCAGCCAGCCACACAAGCACTTAGTCACCAGTGCACAACATAGCCCTGACTTTGTTTTCTTTCTTCATAGCTATGGTGTGATTTTGACAAACCAGTCACCCTGAAGAACCAGACGTTCAATTCATCTGCATCTTTTACGGACATCTGTTCCTATCCTGAGGTATTTCTGAGGGTACTTTTGAATCTGAGGCATGGATCCACAAAGGTTACATGGCAATGACTACCTGGAATCAATGACCTGTGTACTGGTGGTGGAGTCAAGTGCCTCAACAACACTGTGAAGCTGAACCTTAGCATCTATCTATATGCTGATAGAAAAAGCAGAGGCGGGTTACAGAAGGAATTAATCTTATGGTCTAATGGGGCATTACAACCAAGTTTCAACCTTTGAACTTCATACAGAACCTTTACACTGGAAACACATCCAGCAATGATTCAATGAACCTACTGATTCAAAATGACTGAAATGATTCAAAACACACTACTTAATTAATATGAAGCTAATGGGGACTAATATTTCTTACATAGCAAAACCAGCAGTCATTCTGCTGTAGTTATTTTAAATTTGAATTTGGAGAAAAAAAAAATCCTCTCTATGATAAGCAAGCAGGCAAGAAAATCAGTGGGTTGGTCATGTGTAGCTAAAAGAAGTATGTTGCTTAGAAAGTCATATGGCAGTGTCGTGATACTGCCAGCACTACGCTGCAAGTTGTAGGGATGCAGAATTTCGTACAGAGGAACTGTACTAAAGAAAAACTGTACTCAGAAAAATGAATGCTCTCTCTCCTAAAGCTGTATGATAGGAGTTGATTTAAACTACATTTGGACTGTGATGTTGCTATTTTAAATCTAAATAGCTCATGGTCATGATCGTCTCTCTATATCAGCTGCATGGATTGCATTTGACAGATGACTAATCATTGAGAAAAATGAGACAATGAAGAGATTAGAAAATGGAATACGAATAAATCTTCCAGGCATCACATTTTAAGAGAGTAATGTAACTAATCTAGACCTGCAATATTAAAAATAAAAAAATTAATTAAAAAACCCCAACAAAACCTGTGGCTTTATCCTTCTCTTCAAGTAGCACGGGAAAAGGATTAAAGCAGGGATATGATTCTCCCATCCTGATTAATGTGAGTCTTGTGAAAGTTTAGAATCCAAAGGAATATAAATTATTTTCTCTCAGTTGACTTTTCAGTAGCAAAATACTACATCTCTCCCTTTCCTCTTTACAGTATACAGGATGCCCTTTCCCTCCTGATACAATGAAAATGCCATAAAGGCTCACAGGAGGATTTCTGCTAACATGGAGGTGCCATGCAAAATAGAGAATTTGTAATTTCACATTGTATTTTAGCAAAACCCTTATTTTGAAATAAGTGCCCTGCACCCTAAGAAGACTTAGCTGAGCATTGAAATCCAGAGCAATTTTTTTTTTATACTTTTGATTACTTAATCATCTATGCAGATATTTATGGAGTTAATATGTAGTCACTGATCACCAAAAGTAACCACTGCTGTTTTCTATTCAGTATTTTGTCTTCACTGGTGTGCTGGCAATGGTGACTTGTGCAGTCTTTCTTCGTCTCAACTCTGTCCTGAAGCTGGCAGTACTTCTCATCATGATTGCGATCTATTCTCTGCTGACTGAGACCATTTATGCTTCCCTTTTCCTGCAATATGACAACTTTAACCACAATGGAGAGTAAGTGTTCACAGCCCCCTTTAGGAACTGTGTTTTAATAAGGCAACAGGTCAAGTCTTGCCAGAGTATACATGTATAGGACAGCACCATAATTAAGTATGGAGTGATGGTTGAAAGAGGCAACAACTGATCAAGAAATATTTATAAAGGGATTCTTTCTCAGTCCTTTTTATTAAAATGTTCATTTCAGGAGGACACTTAAATATTGAGCAGGGTTTGCCTTTTATGCCTCCCATAGTCTATCCATGTTGCTAAAAATATGCATTACAGGGCATATACCTTGGTTGCTTCCGTTCTTGAAAACTCCAGAGATACTGATTGAAACTCTCACCACAATTTAAGAAAACAGGAGTGAACAACTGACTTTTTAAGTGCAGGGTTTTAACTGAATAAGATCCAAACTATAACATGTAGTTGTGGAAGATATAAGGAATACAGGGATGATCCTGTTTTGTAGGAGTGCATTTGAAGGACAGACTCGTCCTCCCAGGCTTCCTTCCCAGCCAGAGGAATTGAAGAGGAGGACAGAAAAGCCACAGTAATTTGCAGAGTCAGAGGTGCACTAAGTGTTGCAATAACTCAATCTAGAGCAGCAGTGATTTAGCTCATTCAGAAAAACATTTCTTCAGTCTTTGATACTTGACCAATTTGGTATTGCAGTTGCTTGTGCTTGTAAGTGCGTGCCAGATGAAGTTCCTCAGAAAGACAGAAAAGCATAGATTTGCAGTACAATTAGTTCTCACAACAGCCACATCTTTACACACAGTAAGGCTCTGCACTCATATCTTTCCTTGCTAGCTTCCTATGGTAGCAAGGTACTAAAAATTTGGGATGCGATTCCTTTTCCTAATGCTAGTTATCCTCCTACAGACTAATGATATGACACATAGCATATTCACAGCGGAGTCCAGCAAATACGACAAATGGCAGTAAGCAATACTTTGCCTAAGTAACTAGAAGTAGAAATCATTATCATTGTCTTTAATTTTGTCACTAATCAAGCATGGCAAAGCAAGAGTCTCCCTTGCGTGAAAACCTTAGAGAATTCAGAGTAGTTTCTATTCCCTGTGTCAATGAAATTCTCTAGTGACTTTTATCGCAGAAGAGTAAGAAAGAGCCAGGAATATGCTCTAGAGTAGCCAAGAACCCAGGACACAGGGAACTCATCTGAGATGCTCCACAGTCAGGACAAGGATCTGAACTTCAGCACTGACATTAGGGAGCATGAGGTTCAAGGCTGTGTGCCTAGAAACTTATCTGTTTTCTTAGTTACACCAATTAGTTGAATAGAAGGTTTTGCAACTCCCCATGAAACTCATCTACCTCAAATATTTGCAGCTATAGCTACATTACTACAATATGCAATAACAGATGAGTTCATAACTAAGGCCATTGAAGCTGTTGCCTTTAGTGAGCGTACAAGGGGTCCTTCTAGAATGAGATCTTTGGGAGGTTCTATTTCAGAAAACTTCAAATTGGGAAATATTTGAATTCCAAAATATTTGCAAATAACAAAGATGTTTCCTGACTCTCTTGCTCTATACTGATGACTCATCTCATAGCAGCACATTTCCTCACAGTCAATTCTTCATTAGGCCCACAAAGTCAGTTCAGTTAGCTCTCTCACAAGCAAGTTTCCTTTTGGCTTAATCTCCACCAAGCTCTCCTCTTTCTCTCTATATTTTCTCTGTCATAGGAGTCCTCCTTTGACAAATATCACCTGATCCTTTTTTCAAAATTACTATGGAAAATGGATTCAGGGACTGGACTTTGCTTTATTCTTAGATCTCAAGGTAGACAGAAGAGTGTCCCAAAGTCTCTTCCAACTTCCCCTCTTTGTTTACTCCTTTAATAAAGTATTTTACAACTTCAGGCTTTAAGCACCTGTTAACCATTCCTCATCTGTCCCCATCTCCCTTCAACAAAATAATTGCCAAGTATCCACGTTCGATTTGCCTCCAAATTTAGTTCTTTCTCCCTTTTGTTTTACTATCAGATTGGCCTACCAGTTCCCTAACATTCATTTATGTCTTTTCCTCTGGGAAACATGCTTTTTTAAAAACCTCTGATATTACAGACATACTCACTTTCTTCATTTTTGTCATCTCTCCACATAACTGTAATTTCTCCTCATATTTGAAACCCCTTTTAACTTCTCTGGACCCCTTTCACCTCTTTTTTGTCACAATTTCTTCATGCTCCACACACAGCACCACAGCAATTTCATACAGCAGATTTCATACATCCAGTATGTTCTTGACTCATCTTCTTTGCTTCCCTGCTGTCTGCAAGAGTTTCTTTTACTTCCCCTGTCATAGGCAAACATTTCTTCTCTCTGCTCCTCTTTGTGGCTTAGTAAAACCAGTCCTAATCACTGTTTGCCATTTTTTTGATTCCCCTTTGATCCACGCCTCCTTCCTTAACTCACCTGTCATCTTCTCTGAACTTTTCTCACAATACAGGAATGTTTAACTTTCAGCACCTGCCCTGGGGTTCACCTTTTAGCTCTAGGCCCACTGACTGGGCTTTCACTTTCACAATCTGGAAGTTTCCCTTTCCCAGCTCCAGCCTCAACCTTTCCCCATCCAGATCCCACCTTCTGTATTCTGCAAGGGCTGCGAAGTTCATGGTTGTTTACCAAGCTCCCAGGAAAAGAGACTGACTGACACACAGCTTACAGTTGAAAGAGAAAGATCATCACCTTCTGTGTACCTACTGGAGGCTAAAATTTAGTTATTTAATCCATTTGCCTCCAAACAGTGAACACTCCAATTACACTCCTGTTCTCCTGAACTAATTATTGCCACGTTAAATTTTCAAATACAGCGGATTTTTTAAAGAACCACAAAAAGTACCAGGGTGCATTATGAAATGAAACTTCTGAACAATTACAACACTGAAAAATCAATAACTGTATTTTACTTTGGATTTTTTTTCCAGCACAGACTTCCTGGGTACAAAAGAGGCATCTTTACTACTGATGGCAATGTTCCTTTTAGCCGTATTTTATCATGGTCAACAGGTAATGCAAACATTTGTTTTAACCATTCCCTGTATCACTTGCAATTACAGGATGTGACAATAATGACTTTCAAAATACAAACTGCCTTTTTATTCACTTGAGCATATGACCTTTAACAATTTAAAAAAACATATGCAGAATCTGACACTGCCTAGCATTCTTAAAAAACATGTGCGATATTATATTCAGCAATACGCAAGTTATATTGCATTTTCTAATAGAAATTGAAGGAACAAATGGGACTTCATTTATCTTAGGTACATGTACAATTCCAGTGGCTTCTGACTGCTTCAGTGCACTTGAGTAGGCATAAAACCAAAATGAAGAAAGGGAATAGCAAACAGTAAATAATAAAACTCCCATGAAAGAGCTTAGTATGTTCACAGAGGAAAAACACCAGATTTAAGGAAAAGAGGGAAATTTGTGGTTAAGCATGAACACTAACTTCTTTAGGTCATGGACCACTTACAAGAATTCTTTTACATGGACCTAGATGATAACCAAGATTTAGGGGCCTCAGAGGTTTAGGCTTGATATCCTTGAGAAGGAACTGAGAAACTGGGTATTTCAAGAGTCTATACACAGTGCACAGGGAGAGTGAAGTATGACAAATTAAGATATAAAACAACAAATGCATTGAGTAAAAGCCACCTAAAGCAGGGTGTTTTCTCCACAGAACTTCTGGTTGGCAACCTTTAGGCTGCTGCATGTCAAACTTGCTGACTTCAGGCAGTTTCTGTTCACATAAAGGCAAATGAGACCACTGCATTAAAGGAAGCAGCAACCACAGTTGCCTTTAGACATTGCCCTGCATGTTCAACTTGCTTAAAGATTTTCCCTTCAAGAGCATTAGGCTGATCAATACCAGCATTTCTCAATACTAATTTGAGTGAGGCAATAAGAGAGGAATGTTGCTGTGATGAATAACACAATATTATACACTTTATTACAATAACTTTATAAGTTGTGCAGGTACCTACAGGCTCCATTCCTTCCATAGGAGAGCAAATAGAAGGCAACGCCTAAATATTCTAGTAATTTTCTTCCTTTTTATCTTCTTTTTGAGGAAATGAGGAATGAGTGAGTATGGTAAGCAAGGGATGAAACGCGCTTTGTGCCCAGATTTAAGTTTGATGGAAAACAATGTACTTTAGCGTATCTTTATCAAGACATAAAGCCCATTTAGGAAACATATGCAACAAATTAGAACTGAACATGGCAAATTTGAGATAAGCCTTATAATATTCCCAATGATTCTTAACATACACAAAGATACAGATCTAAGGGTTGGGAATTGCCTAAAGTGAGACTAAGTACTAAGAAAGAAAACACTAAAGGAGTTTAGGTAGACCAAGGATTAGGCAGAATCCAGGAAATGCTCTTCAGGATCACAATTCTGAGTGTAAATGTCTGCTAGAAAAGCCTGATATGGGGTGTTTAAGAGTATTTTCCAGCCCAGAGGCCTGTTAGCACAGCACAGTCTTTTTCCATCCTATTAATCATCCTTTGTTCCATAAAACAGGATGGCTGCACTCAAACTACCCTTGGAAACTGTCCCTGAGATGTGCTAACTCCTGCATGTTCTCCCAAAGGATGCATAGGGCCACTCTATCAATTTAACAATATCCAATGTCAGTGCCCAGGAACATTTCCTTGTATTGTTTAATTTCTTATTACAGAGTTAACCTAAAGGTCTCTGTATAAGTGCCAACTAAAAAAATATATTAAAAATTCATCCAGAGCACATTAAAAAAGAATCTTTTAAATAGGCTGAATTGATGGGGAACACTGTAAGTCCAATAAAGCTGTCCTCCAGCACAGCTTTGTTTCTCACAAACTACAAAAGTATTCTGAAGTAGAATAGCTTAAAACTTGCCTCATTCTAGGTGGATTTACAAAAGAGATTACTTTTGTAAGACTAAATTTATGAACCTTTAATTTCTGAACGACTAACTACTGTTCTTCATCCATTGTGATTTAAAGTTAATCCCCACTTTTGCACCCAGGATTTTAAGTTAGATTCAAGAAAAAGTTGTGTGAGACTGTCTAATCAGATTCAGAGCTTTCTTAAAATCTTACCTGTACTTCAGGCCATAAATCTCAAGGGTTTCTGGCACTAAACCCGTAATTAAAAGTAGTTGTGTTACTGTTACATAATGTCAGGCTAAATAGACTAATTCCCTATTAGAAGTTCAATTTCATCTAGAAGCACATCTTTTTAATATGAGTAATACATATTTTACAACAGTGTTTCTGCATACTAAACTTGAGAAAAAGCAAATGACAAAAGTGTTGTGGATAATTTTGAGGCTAGACTTATTCTGTTGTAAAATGTGTTTGTTTACTGCTTTATCTTTTTAATGAGTTAAGTAGATTATTTTTGTATGAACATAGAATCATAGAATCATAGAATCATAGAATCATCTAGGTTGGAAAAGACCTTTAAGATCATCCAGTCCAACCATTAACCTACACTACCAAGCCCACTCTAGACTAATCAAGGGTAGACCAGACTAAACCATATCCCGAAGTGCCACAAAAACTATCACTTAAAACCTTATCAAAATACAATGCCATATACAGTTGCCTTTACTAGAAATACATCTCCAGAGAAAACACACAATATAAATAGTATGAGTGAAACCTTCTGCCATGGTGTCTTGGTTTAGCCCCAGCCAGCAACTAAGCACCACGCAACCGCTCGCTCACTCCCCCTACCCTGATGGGATGGGGGAGAGAATCGGAGGAGTAAGAGTGAGAAACACTCCTGGGTTGAGATAAGAACAGTTTAACAGTTGAAATAAAGTAAAATAGCAATGATAATAAGAACAATATCATAATAATAGTAATAATAATATACAAAGCAAGTGATGCACAATGCAATTGCTCACCACCCGCCGACCAATACCCAGACAGTTCCCGAGCAGCGATCGCTGTTCCCCAGCCAACCCCCTCCCAGTTTCTATACTGCCCATGACGCCATATGGTATGGAATAGCCCTTTGGCCAGTTTGCATCAACTATTCTGGCTGTGCCCCCTCCCAGTTTCTTGTGCACCTGGCGGAGCATGGGAAGCTGAAAAGTCCTTGACTAGCATAAGCAGTACTTAGCAACAACTAAAACATCAGTGCATTATCAACATTCTTCTCATCCTAAATCCAAAACACAACACTATGCCTGCTACTAGGAAGAAAATTAACTCTATCCCAGCCGAAACCAGGACACGTTGCTTTAAAAGGGAAGGTTTTAACAGTTGCAAAGAGGGAATAAAACTGCCCACAGAAGACTCAGTCCCTCCTCTCCCTCAACCCCAGTTAGACCTAAGAAGAGGCTTCATAAAACAGGGGGCAAAATCCTGTCTGGTGTCTTTTAGATTGTAGATCCGAGTGTAGATCTTGCCTACCCCAGAGGAGTGTTCTGGTGTAGGCAACTGTTGGCTGACTGACTGGTTTGCTCCTCCACTTCTGGGGCTCTTTTGTGCAAAGGAAGAGCATTGAACACTGACAGGGCAGGCACAGACAGCTATGTACCTAATAACCTCTGGATGTCAGGGCTGTAGACTAGCGCTACGGAGCCTTGTGGGAATGGAGGAAGGACTGACATCCCTACACATCAATTTATTTGCAACAAACATGATCCCCTGAGCCTTCTTCATGCTTGGGAAAAAGGAGAGGAATGAGGAAATGTGGAGAGGAGATTGTTCCAATTGAAAGAGAAAAAGAGAGGAAGATACATACCTAATTCTGGTATTATGCTTCAGGTCTCTTCATTATCCTTTCTATATTCAGATTTGATTGTTTTATCTGGAGTTAGACCTGTTTTCAGTGGTTGAAAGTGTCCCTTTGGGATTTAAATCCTCTTTTCTCATTCTCTAAGGAAGAATATTCTGCCCCTCAAACGTTGATCCTTACCTTGTGCTTTCCTTGCATGTGGCAACTGTCTGCAGAGATGTTGGGTTGTACAGCATTTAAAGGACATAGGTAGTGTTAGACTTTCTGTGTAATACATCTTCTCTGTTTTCTTCACTCACTATTGGAATTAGGGGTGTTTCGTATAGCTATGTATCAGGGCAAGAAAATCTGGGCATTTCATGAGTTACATTGCAGACAGTCATTTTTATTTTCACCACTGTGCCCAGGAAATATTTCTTTACACAATCAAAAAATAAATGCAAAACTCAACCCTATAATTTTGTTAGTTTAAGCAATTATCACAACTTAGCAAAGTATCTTCTTAAAATTTTCTATTTTCAAACCTTATATGTAGCGCACCCTTTTACCTCTGAATTGACAGTGTCATCTCAGTTGTCCACTGATGATGTAAGAAAAATATTTCATGTTACAATGTGATTATAAATAACCAGAATGACATTAACTAAAATGTAATGATCAGCTGCTGCTACTCTGAGCTAGGTTTAGAGATGTGAAATTCCTGTACAGCAGCATAAAAAAATCAGCTGTGAAAAACTGTAGTACAGATTTTACAAAGCTCTTATTGTAATGGTATTAAATATCTAAAGGATCAAAGAACGCAGAGTCCACCAGCAGCTCCTGCTCCAAGCCAACCTGTAAAATACCTTTAGAACTCATTGCAAAATTATAGTCAGTGTTGCCTTCTCAGTCAACTGTTAGAGATAAAAGTCAGCTATGATCTGGTATGGGCTCTGTCTTCTAGAACAAAAGGAAAGGGGAAGGAAACTGAACAATGTGGACAAAAAATATTTAAAAATACCTTTTCCTGGCAGGTTTTTTGGTGCAATTAATTTAGGGAATTAATAGTCACAAGATGGAAGATCAAAATATTAGAACTAGAAAAAAGATTAATTGTTTCTAAAGGTGGTAATAGCATCCAAAGTTTATATCAACTTTATAAAAAAAAAATTTATATCAAGCCAGGCTCACTTTTACCTTTTAGGAAAGAAAGCTCCCTGGAGTACAGTCAACCTGTAAGCCCCCTTGCAAGGTGCTTTGCATTTTCTTCTGAACAGTTTGCCATCGGTCACTGCTGGTGACAAAAAATGTGGACAAGATGAGTCGCTAAACAATGCCTGAACCCCCTCTTAGTCACTCCCACCCATTGCAGGCTTGCCCTTTACTTCAGCTTGGCAGGTTAGTTACACCCCAACCACTTCCTGAATCCCAGCGCCTTTTGGCAACAAATTTGATGTCTCTTCCAGTTGTAAAATGCATTTATTTGCTGGTATAATATGCTTCACTTCAGCGTGTTTGATTATTATCTCTGGTTAGAGCACCTCAAGCCTCAGAAGTATATTTTCTCTTTCAGTTTACTCCACACAGATATATTTCCATCATTTTCAATAAGGCCATACATAGCTTAATAAGTCACCCCTTGTGCAAGCTACAGTATCACCTGCCTGAAAATCTGATTAAAACTCTCCATCGGTGTAACGCACCCAAAAGTTCTGGCAGTGTTGGTCTTGCCCATGTGCTGACACACGTGCCTCTCAGGCAAACAACATGATGTTTCAACATGTTACCTGCTTCAGCTAGCAGACAGTTGCCATTTATGTATATATGAATACGCACTTATATGTATATATATAAAAATACACAATACATATAAGTATGCCTATCTAAGCTGTACTGTGCAGGAATCTTCCTTTTGTTCTGTACACATATAGCATTGAAATCCATTTAACTTTGTTTTTTAGCTGAGGGTATCAGGCGCTGCCACTGTGCACGTACTAAATTATGACTGCAGACTGGATCCACAATACATCGGGACAGAATATTCGAGGGGATATCAAATAGCATGTCTTTCACTGTCTTTTAAAAGACTTAAATTGCAAATAACTGCGTGTCCCAACAGTAGAAACACCTCATTTTGGTGCTATGGATTTTAAAGTCCTCTTTGGGAGTGTGTTTGGCTGTTAGATATATTTTTGCTGAAAGATGCTCATCCTTGAGAAGTAAACTACCTGCCTCTGCAAAGTGTTTAGAAAGATCCTTGTTCTATTTTCTCATGAAACCCATTTCATTTGAAAACATATATGAAAAGGGGAACACAGTTATTTCATACCAATATCTTTTGGTTTAGGTGGGCTTGGTAGTGTAGGTTAATGGTTGGACTGGATGATCTTAAAGGTCTTTTCCAACCTAGATGATTGTATGATTCTATGATTCTATCTTCCAATACCTAATCTCCTGTCTGACTCCATTATCTAACAATAAAGAAGTCTTTAAAAGGAAAATAATTTTGTGACATTTTGTAACCACTGGCCATAGCAGTAATATGACAAATATTATTTTGCCCAAGATTCTTCTGAGGCACTCACCATACACAAGGCAAAGAAATAATCTTTTTTTCTGACAATGAAATCAGATTCTTTCAGAGTCAAAGATCTTCAGCAGCACTGACAGCGGTTACATGGCAGGAGCAGCCTGACAGGATGACAATACAACCTCTGCTCTTACCTTATCAGGTTTTATTTTTGCCTTTTTTTTCTTTCCGGAACTACAGCTTGAGTACACAGCAAGGCTGGATTTTCTGTGGCGTGTTCAAGCAAAAGAAGAAATCAATGAAATGAAGGAGTTAAGGGAGCACAATGAAAATATGCTACGGAATATTTTACCCAGTCATGTTGCCCGTCACTTCCTGGAGAAGGATCGGGATAATGAAGTATGTATCCATTTTATTTCTGATACTTTTGTCTAATTAGCAAAATAAAAGCAGATCTGTTAGGAAATTGTTAGAACTTAGTTCTTGATAGGATTCGTTATGCAAATACTGCCAATATTGGCTATCTGACCATATCTATCATCTGATCATGTTTTAAAACGTTAAAAAAACATTCATGTTTTGAAGTAAAGGGTTCTGCACTTCTAGGACAACATCCGAAGTGGTATTTCCAGGTTCAGGCTCACCAGCAGGAGACACATGGACTTACTAGAGTAAGTCTAGTGGAGGGCCACCAAGATGATTAGCAGATTGAGGTACATGGCAGAGCCGGGTTCATTCAACCTTAAGAGGAAAAGGCTGACAGAGGAACTCATCGTTGTCTTCAACTACCTAATGGGTGTTTGTAGACAAGAGAGAGCTAAACTCTTGTCCAGTGTGCAAGTGGAAGGACAAGAGACAATGACACAAGTTGCAGAAAGAAAAATCTCAGTTAGATACAAGGGAAAAGAATGCCTGGGAAAGTGGTCATTGCATCAGGGCTCAGAGAGGTTGTGAAATCTCTAGTCTTGGAGATATTCAACCCTCAACTGATCAAGGCCATGTGAAACTTGACCTAACTGGCCCTGCTTTGAGTGCGAACTGTATTAGGTGATGTTCAGGGGTCCCTTCCAACCTATGAGTCTATGAAAATCTAGTATTCCTAAAAAAGATATGCAAAGTTAACAGAATGCCTATGCAACCTTAAGATAGCTGAGTGTTTCAGTTTTATTACAGCCCTGCCAGTTATTATGGAAGGAATCTGTGCAACAGGCTCTAACAGACCCGAGTGTCTTGCATCTTCAGACCCAAGAGAGCTTTTTTGCCATTTCACATTGCCCCTGAATTGCCTCTTTGGGGCAGTTAACACCCATTTCAGAAACATAGTCTGTGGCTATGTTCGTAACGAGTCTTTGTAGTACAGAAAGAAAAGCTTGATAATGGAGTCTCTGGATATTCCTAAGACAGAGTTTAAAGATAGGTTGTTGAAGGGATAAAGGAAAGTCCAAAATTTGTTTCTGAAAGCAGCAGTAAGTCACTTACTCCTTATCTGAAATAAGGCAAACACATATTATAATATTATCTGTGAATAAAGGCCATTGTATGATGAAACTGGAATTTTCTTATGTAATGTTGGAATTATCTTTGATAATTAAGAGGTTACAAATGTTGCAAGACTCAAGTTACCAGCACTGACATATCTATTCATTGTGCAGCAAAAAGAAATCAAGGCTACCCTTTTCTGATTGTACATTTTGGAAATAGATGTAGCCAGATAAATTAGACTGCACAATGAGGAATCATGGTGTCTGAAGATGGGATTTCAAGTGTCACCTAGGAAAGGACAACCTAGTAAGAAGCTACAAGAAAAGGCACTTTAGAAATCATCCTCTTGAGGAATTTTACACTCTGTGCATATTAAACTGCCATAAAAACACTGCTCTGCACATGAGAAAATGTGTGTGTGAAAGCAATCAGATTAAAATGCTCCCTTGCAAATGGAGCAAGCGCTAATACCAACTATGAGTGTGTTCTGGCATATCTTCATCATGGATTTTCGAATACATGTCCTCTCTTACGCATTCATTCACATACACTCACATGCGTAACAATCTTCAAAAAGCAAACAGATGCCCCATGGATCACTGCTGATGCTTCAATAATTTGCCACTGAATTCAATTCCACCACCCCTGCTTTTTGTAAGGCAATTTCCACAGTGACTATACTTGTGGATGATTTATGCATGAGCTGGTTGGCTGTAACATCTACCAGATTTCAGAACTATCAATCCTGCAGTTCATGTCTGGCCATTAAGTTAGTATCTCTGCTTTCAAAAAGTGAACTCCCAAATGTGCACTGTAAGCATTTTCTCATGGATGTATGATTTCTGTCTTGATGCTTCTTAACAAAAATAGAAAAACTGAGTTGCTGAATGCTCAGTCAGTTGTTTTCTGTCTTCACGATCTGAGGAAAGAGTATGCCTGAGTTAATATATGCTTCTCCTAGCACATATATTCTAGTCTTCCATAAGCATCCACGAACTACTCTGTGTATTACTTTTTTCTATACCTATGAAAGGGAATAAGAGTGTCCTTAGAGCATGACTTCCATGACCCTGCAGATGGTCTTCAGTGAAAGAAAGTGTAAGAGCAGAAAGGGAATCAATCATGTTTTGTCTCAATCAAAGCTTTGCAGCGTCCTTGGAAACCAGCAGAGTTTTCCCACTTTTACTGTAGGACACATTGCTAAAGAGTCTATATAAGTAGCAGCATAGCAAAGTGCAGGGCAGGAGTTCAAGATGCTTTTCTAGGGAGAAGCAAGATGAAGGAAGAAGAGGAGCCTGAGGTGTTCACATTAGGTGTATGGCATCCAGCAGTAAGTCCTTTTATCATGAGAGCAAAGCACTAAAATTTCCTAAAGCACACTAACAAGAACATTGAGAAGCAACTACTCCAGGTCAGAATGTCCTAAGAGAAGTCCCAGAACAGAAATGAAAGTATCAGCCATTGGGTAAAACTACAGAAGTAGAAGCTAAAAAAAAATTAAAAGAGAATGCATGTGCTTGTGGTATACTAGCCACTAGAAAAGCACACCAGGAGTGGAGGGGTGGGCAACGATGACTATGTCCTTGGCATTTTTTAACTTGAAATTAGTTTTGTTCCTAAAAATTTGTTTGGGTTCAGAGAAGAACTGACCGCATTTTCACATATATAGTCACAAGAAACCATCCATAAATAAATCTGTCATTCACTACCAGAGTGAATTATACGAATAACATAAGTGGAAGCTCATCCCAGGGCATACCTTGTCCTAATAGCCTCCTGTGTCCTATCCCTTATAAGCTGTTTTCTGTCCTCAGTAAATCCATTAACACCCTCAGTTCTGTTCTCCTTTCAAACCCTAATAGCAGGAACGTCTCCCAGAGCCAGGTAACCAAATGGCTCCATAGTCACCTTAGGAGAACCACAGTTTACCATAGAGTAAGGGCTCTCTGAAAAACTGTGAATAAACAAACTTGTAAAGAACTACAGTGGTGTGAAGTATAAATTATCCACCAGAAAATGTGGTAACTGAGAGGACTTTTTATAAAGAAGTCATATTAGACATTTTAAATGATCCCATCTGATCCCTGTTATTTAGAAATATACTGTCAAATGCAAACATTTCTGAGACAGACTTAAACAATAACAAATAATAAACATTAAGTTCCTTTTACTTGCCTAACAACGTTTGATTCTCTGGTATTCATACTTGCAAATGAATCCTTCATTTCTTAAGGTGGTTCCCCATATAAATCAAAATGAAAAATTCTATTTCATTTTTGCTGGTGTAGCCCCTGATCTCAGAAGCAGAAAGAGCAGGCTTTCAAAGAAAGGACAAACCCCGCATACAATCCATGATAAAAATATGAGAGCTGTCAGCCTTCTCCTGTTGGACTTGGCTAAAAATACACTAATGCTAAGCGCAGATATTAAGGAATTATGCATGGAAAAAATAAGAAACCTATTTTAATTGCAGCCGATTACATTCTCTTCCTTATATTACCATTTCAACTCATTTTTCTTCATTGTTCTTTTAGGAATTATACTCTCAGTCTTATGATGCTGTTGGTGTGATGTTTGCTTCTATTCCTGGATTTGCTGACTTCTATTCCCAGACTGAGATGAATAACCAAGGAGTAGAATGCCTGCGCTTGCTGAATGAAATCATTGCAGACTTTGATGAGGTAATACCAGCTACTAGAGGAAATCTGATAGCAGTTAAATGATGAGTTCCCAAATACAAAACATGCCATCCTAAATCATCAAATTTAGTAACTTTTCTGCTTCCAATAACTGTCTGATTTTTTTTTACTCCAATTACTATTACAATTGTCTATTTTGCTTTTTTTGCACTTCATCTTGCCAAAATTTGGTCTGAATGACCTAGTGAGATAGACAGTGAAATAAATAGTAACTTCAGTATAAACGTGCATAAATAAAAGCACAATCTGCTCCAGTGTATCTAGAAGTAGAACATGCCTTAATTCTGTAAAAGAAAGAAGGATAAAGATATTTGCAACAGTTCAGGAAAGTAGTAGTCTAAATCCAAACAGAGAGATAATGGTTGAGTGGACTCAATGAATGTTAAAGGTAAAACAGGGTCAAATTGAATGTGAAGCACACAGCTCAGAATCAAATGGGTAGAGAATGAAAGGTGGTGACATACTAACTGAGGAGACTTGTCTGGTCAGGTATATTATGCAGAGGTAAATGAAGTAAAGCTGCTTGCTTTACTGAGGAATACATAGGTGAAGGGAAATTAAAAAAAAAAAAAAAAAAAGAAAAGAAAAGGACGTAGAGAGGAAAAAGAATTTCTTTAGGTATCCTGTCTGCTTAATTTCAGAAAGGGAGCTAAGGAGGGGCTAAGACAAACATGATGGGTGGACTGTTCGATGGATAAGGAATTAGCTGGATGGTCGCATCCAGAGGGTCATGGTCAATGGGTTGATGTCCACATGGAGACTGGTGACAAGTGGAGTCCCTCAGGGGTCCATACTGGGACCGGTGCTATTTAACATCTTCATCAATGACATAGACAGTGGGATTGAGTGCACCCTCAGCAAGTTTTCAGATGACACCAAGCTGAGTGGTGTGGTTGACATGCCAGAAGGATGAGATGTCATCCAAAGGGACCTGGACAAGCTGGAGAGGTGGGCCTCTGTGAACCTCATGAGGTTCAACAAGGCCAAGTGCAAGGTCCTGCACCTGGGACGGGGCAACCCCCTGTATCAGTACAGGTTGGGGGATAAAGGGATTGAGAGCAGCCCTGCAGAGAAGGACTTGGGAGTACTGGTGGATGAAAAGCTGGACATGAGCCAACAATGTGCGCTTGCAGCCCAGAAAGCCAACCGTATCCTGGGCTGCATCAAAAGAAGCGTGGCCAGCAGGTTGAGGGAGGTGATTCTGCCTCTCTACTCTGCTCTGGTGAGACCCCACCTGCAGTACTGCATCCAGCTCTGGGGCCCTCAGCACAAGAAGGACATGGACCTGTTGGAGCAGGTCCGGAAGAGGGCCACCAGAATGATCTGAGGGCTGGAGCACCTCTGCTATGAGGCCAGGCTGAGAGAGTTGGGGTTGTTCAGCCTGGAGAAGAGAAGGCTGTGAGGAGACCTTAGTGCGGCCTTTCAGTACTTAAAGGGAGCCTAGGGGAAGGATGTGGAAAATCTTTTTAACAAGGCCTGTTGTGACAGGACAAGGCATAATGGATTTAAACTAAAGAAGAATAGATTTAGACTAGACATAAGAAATAAATGTTTTACAATGAGGGTGGTGAAGCACTGGCACAGGTTGCCCAGAGAGGTAGTGGAGGCCCCATCCCTGGCAACATTCAAGGTCAGGTTGGACGGAGCTCTGAGCAACTTGATCTGGTTAAAGCTGTCCTTGCTCACTGCAGGGGGGTGGGCTAGATGACCTCTAGAGGTCCCTTCCAACTCAAAATATTCTATGATTCTATGATTCTGTGAAACAGGAGAAAATTCAGATCCCCAGTGTAGCTATTGCCGGGTGGAAGCAAGGAAAAATTGGAAAGTGAAGAGGAAGTCAGGAGCAAGTTGCATACTTGGTATTGCATACTCTGCCAACTAGTTAGTAAGGAAGTTTAGACAGGTGGTATCATGTCCTGCAATGAGCCCAAGAGGAATTAAGAAAGGGGACAATGGATAGACCAATGTCGAACTTTGAAAAAACTTTAAAACTATGAAGGGTGCAAAAGTAAGGCCAAAATTATCTAGCATGGGAAACTAACCTATACACTACAAGCAGTTTTCAGGAGTGTATAGCCCTCCTCAGCTCCCCAAGTGGCAGAAGCAGAATCTGAGCCATCTCTAATTAAGAGTGAGATTGGATCCATGTGCCAGACTGGAATGGTCCAGATGGAAAAGGGGGAGGTGGTGGTGGTATCATTGGTCTGTGACTCTGGTTTTGGAGAAGTTATTTTAAAAGAAAGTGGGGAAAAGACATCCTTTTCAGAATTCTGCTGAGCAAGGCAAGATTAGTACTAAACTGGACAGCAGGGGAGAGGGCACATGTATAGCAAGAAATCATTGAGAAACAGGAAAAAATCCTACCCAAGACACCCATGTTCTGTTTAATCTCTGTTTATCCCAAGGAAATTTTAATTCATTTCTCTATTGTGGTAGAGTATCAACTGGAGAAGTGATGAGTGTCTTGTCAGCTTAAAATTAAAATGCAGTTCAAGAAAATAGAATTTGTTCCCTTAAAAGGAGTTGGATCTGGATCTTGCATCCCATATGAGCTATGTAACCATGGAGCAATTGTCTAAAACAGAGAAGGGAAGAACTCCACTTATGTTGTGGCTTGAAAAAAGAGAACATCATTTACCACTTTGGGTTTCAACTAAAAAAGCATTATCAGAGTGAAAAAGATTGAGGTTTTGAGAGAAGACAAGAAGGCATAGTTAATCTTTGCATCTGGACCGGGATTCTGCCCATAGATTAATCATACAGAAAACTTCCTTCCAGAAAACTGAAGCATTGGCAGAGTTCAGACCTCTCCAGTTGTTAGAATACAGGTGAATTTGAGAATCAGTGTCTTTTTTTTTTTTTTTTTATTTTTTTTGTTCTACCTCAGTCCTACTTTAAACACCTATCTCTCTTTGAGGATCTAGCCTAGAGTTTTTGGTTTGGTTTTTTTGCTTTGAAAAGCAAGTATCTCCAAGGACTTCAGAGGAAGATACTGGAGGAAAAGATGAAAACAGAAGGCATATGACTGAGAAAAAGAGATTAGGAAAAAAAATATTCTTTTTATTATTATTATTCCATCTTGAGCAGCAAGTACCTAAGGCCTCTCACAAATTTTGAAGAATTTATTTCAAATTTGCTTCTCTGATAGAAGTTATTTTATCTTCATTTCATAAGTGGAAAACAAAGGCACAAAGGCATAATTAACTTTCCTGCATTTTTTTGAAAACAAAGATACCTGTTCCTATACCAGAAGCTAGAACCTAAATATGAACCAGGTCAGGGTCTTAACTGTACCTTCATCCTTCCTCATCCTGAGCATCTGCATGGGGAATGTTTATAGAGTTGTAGCTCATGAAAGCAGGACCAGGGTTAAGATTACCAGACTCTGAGAGACAGTGAAATTGAGACTTTATCCATATAATTGGTCAGATATTAAAATTACTAGTGGGAAATAGAAGAATTCACAGGGGATGCATCCCTGTGCATTTTAGTAGAAAACAAAACTACTCTTCTATGAGAAGAGCTCTGTAACATGCTAAGCTCCTGCACTGCTTTCCTTATAGATATCAATACCTGCTTCTTATCTCTGAGATCTTGCACAGCTGTCACCATGCTTCTTGATTAATAGTTTTGTTTTTTTTTCCAGATCTCATTAAAATGATTATGGCTCAAACTTAATGCAAAGCCTATTGCTATGAATTAATTTAAGATATTTTGTCATGCAAGTTCATATAATCTTCACAACAATATTCCATTGCTGTTGTGGCAATTACTGAAGACAAGGTTTTCATCAAAAGCCCTAACACAGTATTACATTCAGGCCCCTAACACCTGCTCTGTAATTAATAAAGGACCTAATTAGGGACTGTATTATGTCCCAGACATGTTTAGTTGAATAATAGATATGTTCCTGGTACGGGTAGTAAATGAAATTATGTGATCCCCTGTTGACTGCTAACCTACTTCCAGCATGGTCATGCCATTAGTTTATTCTGTCTAAGCAATCTGAAAGGTGATATGCCAGACAGAACAAGTGAAGTGAGTAATCCTACCCATGGAAAAGGAACCAGGAGTCATTTCAGGTATGATGTTTCAGGGCCAGTAAAGTTTCCACATATCTATTGACTGACACTACATGATGTCAGTGTTCCCTGTTCTTCATGGTATTTCTTGCCAAGATTGTCTGCTGTCTCAATACAGCTCTGGAAGCAAAATGCAGATGTGCAGCTTGAGAGCAGAGCAGATCTGTTAGCCATGGGAAAACTTTGCTCCTCAGCATCACATGAACACCTCTGTAGAGATACTCAAATGTAGAAGTCTTAGCACAGGAGCGTAAGACACTGGCATCTGGTGCCATCTGAGATATCCTAGGTGATTTGAGACACCCACATGGGATTGTCAGGTCCCATGCTGCACCATCAGAAAACTCATGCTGTTTTGGAGCAAGACACTGGAGGTTTTTCAGGGAAGCATGCTCTAGATGACACTGGACATCTATGTTTAGACAACGGAATTCAGTTCCTAATCTCAAATCAGATTCTACACCGTGAGTCCCCTTCTTTCCTTATATAGATAATACAGTAAGAATGCCCTGTCCATAGGGCCAGGAAGATGTTTCTGAATGAAAGTAGTAGTAAAAATACAAATTGACCTGGCTTGGAAAACGTGATATGTGCACGAGAAGGAGATCTGGGTTATTTCTTTCTTTTTTTTAGGGGAGTTTCCTTGTTACTATAAAACAGAAGGCTTGTAATCCAGATCTGTTGTTTTGTTTTCCAGGTAATGGATCTGTGTTAGAGAATGTCGTGGTTTAGCCCCAGGCAGCAACTCAGCACCACGCAACCGCTCACTCACTCCCCCTGCCCCGGTGGGATGGGGGAGAGAATCAGAGGAGTAAGAGTGAGAAACACTCCTGGGTTGAGATAAGAACAGTTTAGCAGTTGAAATAAAGTAAAATGGCAATGATAATAATAACAATAGCATAACAATAGTAATAACAATATACAAAGCAAGTGATGCACAATGCAATTGCTCACGACACGCCGACCGATACCCAGACAGTTCCCGAGCAGCGATCGCTGCTCCCCAGCCAACCCCCCCCAGTTTCTATACTGCCCATGACGCCGTATGGTATGGAATAGCCCTTTGGCCAGTTTGCATCAACTATTCTGGCTGTGACCCCTCCCAGTTTCTTGTGCACCTGGCAGAGCATGGGAAGCTGCAAAGTCCTTGACTAGCATAAGCAGTACTTAGCAACAACCAAAACATCAGCGTGTTATCAACATTCTTCTCATCCTAAATCCAAAACACAGCACTATGCCTGCTACTAGGAAGAAAACTAACTCTATCCCAGCCGAAACCAGGACAGAGAGTCAAAGCTAGTCAAACAAAAAATAGTGAATGGTGGAACAGAACCGGCCACCAACAACTGCACAGGGTAGGACCCCACAGCATCATTATAGAATACAGTTATATATAATTTCCTATTTTGTATCAAAGCACAGAGGTGCTGACAGGAACAGCTCATACCTGAAAGAACAAACATGAACATTGCAAATCTACTTTTATAATTACCATTTTTATATGACTGTAGTCTTAAAACACATACAAAGCTCCCATTCTTAGAGATGTTAAAAAATAAAAAATATAAAAAAAATTGGAACATTTCTCCTGAATATTACAAGTCTTGAAGGATTTTTTTTTTAATATAATATTCTTTTCAGCCTTTTTAATCTATCATGTATGTATCTTAGTGATGTTACAGCTGGGATTTGTGTTTTAATAACAGCTTTCTAGTTCATGGGCTCTTTTTTCCCCCCATTTTCTTTATCCTGCAGTGATTTACATGGTGTTTATGACAACAGATTTTAGTATATTATGTTGCTACAAATAGATGTTTCGGCAAAACGCAGGGTCCTGCTTTCAGACCTCACTGATTACTTTGCAGTTGTGTGCCTTGTCCTGGAACATTCTCTTTTGTACTACTTTGTACATGTTTCATTGCATGTGTATATCCCAGGGTCTGACCTCCATATAACCTTGGCTGTACACGAATTTCAGCATCAAGCCATTAGTTGCTTTTCAGATACCAACTACATTCTAGTGTTTGAAAATGTTCCCTGGACTATCTTGGTAAATTAGCAATCCTATTTAAAATGTCACAACAAAGAGCAACTGGTTTAGGACCGAGTTAGAATATCTTTCCCCAATATCAAAATCCATCATCCTGTCATACTCTGAACAAAGTAACTGATAAATAAACTGTTATTTGAAGAATGAAAGAAGCTAACTAACAGACAGGTTAAAGAAGGAAAAAAAATAGAGATTAGGAAACAATAATGAATGAGTAGAAAAAAATATAACTTGAGATTATTTCTTCACAGCCAATAGGTTCTTTCTTTCTTAAAAAGTAATTTTAGATATTTATCATATATTTAAATTACTGTGCTGTTTGCTGTTGCTTCCAGCAACCATCTGGAAATGAAAATATAGTCTGTTTTTAACCAAGACCATTTCCTCCCTTGCCCATACACCTGGTGCTCTCAGACTGCTCACGAAAGCAGAGCTACAAGAAATGATCTTTTTCTTTAAGAGAGCAGTTGGACTAGCTGCCCTTGTAGGAGGGAAACGTAGCTAATGGCCTTTTCTGGCAGTTTGAAGAAAAACGAGAAGCAGGTCAAGTTTTTGGACTTTTCTGACTTGGAAGGGAGCCATTAACCATATGGCTTTTTATTCCCTGCGCACAATGCTGTGCAGCCTCCCATTAGAGACAGATGGTGTGATATCTGTACATGAACAGCAAAGCTTCCAAGACCCTGGCGCTCTGGCTGACGTACGATGTGGTTCATTCAATCGCAGGGGATATTTCGTGTTATGTCTTTGGTATGTTTCTCCCTTTGAATGAAATATTCCCTTTAGGTTCTAATTGACAGGAAACTCAAACCCACAGGATGGAAAAAGAATGGATGACAGTGTGTAAAAGAACAGGGAAAATGTTTCATTAAATATTTGCCTGACCACAGCAAGAATTTTTTTCATTTAAATCCCAACTAAGTTGAGCCTTTAGAACTGGAAGTTTGAAATTCCTTGTCTCTGTGAACTGTTTTCTTTTTCTTCCAGGACTGCCTAACCATATTGATGCCTAAATTTATTAGATACCATACCACTTATTATGAAGTTTCCCAGGGTATTTTGGGATTAACATCAACAATACAAATTTTTGAAGCCGGTGATGAGGTCTTATGTGTCCATATCCCACATAAAGCTCTACTGTCATTGATAAGAGTTCACAGCCTGAACTCTGCTTAGGTCTCCTGAGGAATGTAAGGCTCTGGCTTCTATTTCATGGAAAGTCCTAAGTTAAACTGTGAATATGGACTTGGAATAGGGACCAGTCACTCCCACTCCACTCAGTGCATTAGTCACTAGACTAAATTTATTCTTCCTCTTGCAAATTCTCAATCGGACAAGTTCTTTATGCCTACTTAGCAACTATGGCCATCCCAGATAGATACAGTTGTTTACCACTTCCCATTTGTTCCCTATATTTTTGTAGAAGGAGAAAATATGTAACAAAAGTGCAGACTGAATGACCCAATGAACATACCAGTGTTAGGTGTGACAGTAAGTAGAGAAAAGCATGGGATACAGTAGGATTTGATCTCTCATAGAAGTTCTTTAGAAGCATCTACCTCCAACCATTGACTGTGTGAGATGGTTAAAATGGTTAAGTGGACTGAATTCTCTTTAACACTGCTCTCATCACCTGAAATGTTGCTGTAGCAGGACTTAATTTGTAAACGGAGTTCCTCCAAACGAGATTTAGGAACACTTTTAAGTAATCAAATCGTCTAATATTCACACACACACAGAGTTTGTTTTCACTATTTTTCAGTGATTATATCTCAGGACTCATCTGCATTTAAGTTAGGATGGAATATGCATGTCTTACATTACCCATTATGTGGTTTACCAAACAGCTTTACAGAGCACAGCAGAATTTATTGAATGCACTCTGTGAGTAAATGATGTTGCAAAGAGTCTCAGCTCAGTGTGCCCTGGAACCCAGAATGAACTGTGTGGCATGACCAACTGGAAGATACCATGAGTGTAATGATTGGTTTTGATATCTGTAGAAGCATTTTGCATTAAGAATTACAGGAGTAACAGTGGGTTTTTACATATGTATTAGTTACTAGGTGAAGAGAGATTTCAAGATATTGAAAAAATTAAAACGATTGGCAGCACATACATGGCCGTGTCAGGATTATCACCTGAAAAACAGGTAAGAGAATAGTTTTCCTTAAGAAGCAAAGCTTTTGGTGTGTCCAACCATTTATATTAGAGAATATAATGTTATCTTTCTGATGTTTGTAGAGCTGTGTTTGCTAAAAGAAAATAGACATTTAGGGTTTCCGGCAGACAACAGTTGCACTTCTTGATGAATTGGTATGCCATCTTGTGCCCAGAACAAGAACCATATGGATTCTTTCCTCAAATTTAGGTATATAGGAGGGGAAAAAAAACCTCCTTTCAGTCACACTGATGTGAATCTAGAGCAGGTCTATCTATGTCTTTGGACATACTCTAAAGTTACCACTGTAACTCAGACTTGAATCTGTCTGACAGCCTCCAATAATCTATGAAGAGAGAGGATCTATTAACTGACAGCATACTTATGCAAGTGAAATGTTGCATTTATACATTTTTGTGATGATGTAGCTATATATCTACAGACAGTATGATAAACCATACATCAAAAAGAAAGCAGACCCATCAGTTCGACTGAAGAACATCACAAAGCCAGAAGTCTGCATACTACCCTCACTTGCAGAGTGCAAACCAAGCTGAGGGAAAAATGAACCACAGAGGACACATGCACAGTCACAGCCATAAACCTCAGATAAGTCAGATGAGAGAAATCCATTCATAATTACACAGAAGATTATGCCTGGAAATGGGATCACCAAAGGAATAAGACGAAGCTGTAAAATACATCCAGTGAGAAGTTGGCTGTTGCTGAAATCTGTCTCACTTGGCAACTGGTACCTCTGCCCAAGGAAGAGCACCACAAAAAAGGGTGTGCTGCCCCAGATCAACCACAGAGTGGGAATTGGATCTGCCCACATTGATTGCAACTGCCAGGAAAGCAGAAGAGAGATTAGTGAGCTTTATAAACCAGAAAATTTCCATTGTTTGTTTAGAATACATTATAAAACATGTGGAGTGTAACTAGCTGAGCATCTCCCACCTACAGAGTAACAAGTGATGCTGACAGATAGAAATCCACAAAACTAGACATGCATGAGATTTTTGTTTGTTCCAACTCAAAATGCTTCTGTGCAGAGATGAGCAAAGAAGGACTGAACGTCAGGGAGGTAGCTGGTTATAGCTACACAGTTCCTAGCTGCTTCATTTGACTCTTGATGTGGATAAAAATTCAAACGGAGAAAACCTTTACTGTATTTGCAAGACTGATTAACTCATCCTTTTTCTTGAACTGTAATAGCCTAATGGATTTTTTTATGTATTTATTTATTTTATGTATTTATTTATACTTATCTTCATACATGTATGTCTATCACCTTGTCAGCATCTAAGAGGTGAAGGCTGCCTAGGGAGGTTGGCACGCTGTGAACTGCATGAGGCTGAGGACAAGGCCCGAGCATGGTGTGATGCCAGAGGGATGCTTATTTTCAGTCTTAAACACTGAGGATGATGAAAATCGTAAAGGGCTGGACTGCATGAGCCAGGGCGGAGGGGAGGGTTGCAATGCTTCATTCCTATGGACTGGAAATTTGTTTGATGAAAGAATTATCTGGCTTCAGAATAGATGACAAAACCACCATACCACTATCGGGCCAAAACCACAGCTGTTCCTTACTCCACTGCCTACTCAGAGAAACAGTAAAGGAGTTCCCTGTCCTCCCTTGAGAGTCCCTGCCCCACCATCTGTTTTGTTGGTGTTCTGGGAAGACCAAAACCCACTCCTGGTCCCCATCTGTATATCTGCTGCCCTGTAGGAATGGAAACAGAGGGGAAGGAGCTGGCAGTGACTTGACTGCTCCAAGCAGAGGCCATTAATTAGATACAGAATAACCTTTTCTCTCCCACTTAACTGGTCCCAGGTTGCCTGACTTGTCCTGTTGTTTCTGTCATTATTCCATCTCTGAGAGTACTGGAATTGGTGCTTTTCCTGGGCGAAAGTTTCAGCAAAGGAGAATTATGTCTTTCACTTCTTTTGCTCTGCTTCTTGGTTTCCTGGGTCATCCCTGGTTTTCACTAGTTTTTGTCCCCTGCACCTTAACTATCTCAATCCTCTCTATACTTTCTTTCTCATCCTTAGATAGATTTCACATGCCTTATTAATTCCCATGATTGCCTGTCAGATTACTGACAGGAAATTACTTTCTTCGGTACTTCACACTAAGCTTCTCTGTATCCAGGTCTAGAAGTGTTGTAATATAAATGGGAAGCATTACCATTAATAATACCCTACACCTCTCTTGAATCTAGTACATTAGGATTGTTCTTACAAATTCTAAATTCAGATACTTGGCACTTGGTGGGAACAGGTGGGAGCTGGGCAAATGCAAAACCTTTCTAACATATTGGTTTATAACTTATTCCTCAGCAATGTGAAGACAAATGGGGGCATTTGTGTGCTCTGGCCGACTTCTCCATAGCTCTGAATGAAAGCATACAGGAGATCAACAAGCATTCATTTAACAACTTTGAACTCCGTATTGGTAAGCATAGTTCAAACATGAGAATTAAAATGGGGTTTTGTCTGCAAGGATCTGACTCTGTAAGTGCACCCCAGGAGCATTGCAAGGACATGTACAATTTAAAAGGCTCCAAATACTGTACCCCCTGTTTTCAAACTGACTTCCTCCCAGGCAACTTTAGAAAGAAGAATACTCTGTTTGCAGAATATGGGCCCTGATTTGAGGACTGCAGAAGTTCTAAGGTTTAGCAAAATGTGAATATATAATTAAGCTACTGTCTAAAGACTAAAGGCTAAAGCAAGTCTAGCCAGGAGCCCATAGGTATTACACAAAAAGTGAACTGGACAGCCCAGACCTAACCCCAAGCTTGATACTGGTTTGTACAGTCTCTAATTAAACTCCCTGTCTTAGATTTTTCTTCAGTAAAGGAATAATAGTAGCTTATGCTAAACCCTGTGTGTAGTACTTTGGTTTTGCACAAAAATTGAATTCCAGCTCTGACCTGACCTGTCCCAGAGGCAGCAGCTCTGAACTGCTGTGATAGGGAACCTATTATGCTGGATGGGGTATCCTGGATAGCTAGTAGGATGGGACATGAAAAGATGGCCTGAATATATGGCACATGGCAGGAGCAAATCTGGTAGCTTCTCATGCTGACTGGATCACCGGCCAAAACCAAAAACCACCTGGAAGAAACATGTCCCTTACAGACCACCCTGCCTTAAAAAAGCTGATGTATATTCATCAGTCACAGCATGGAGGGTCACAGCATCACTGTCTGTGATCTGCGCTTCCTAACAGTTTTGAACAGAAAACTCCCCATTTCCAAGATTTCCCAGGGAACATTCATCCACTCTTAGTAAGAGTGGATCACTTGCAAAGATTTCATAGAACATGAATGCAACAGTATCTGGAAACCATTTCTATCACCAATTTAAAAAAATATTCTTTAAAAAAAAAAAATCTGAAAAACTAAGATCCTTTTCCCAAAGATGTGCCTTTCACTATCACTAAATGTATTCCGAAATCACTGCTATAGAAAAAAATATTATTGCTTGTCTTGAATTTATGCAACAATCCTACAAGATACAGTCTTTCAATAACTTCATGGAATACTTTAATATTTTCACTTCATGGAACATAAGAATGTAATTTCTTGACTGCATAGCACTAACAAGGTTGCCTTCAACAAGCGTAGACCCAGAAAGATCCTTCCAGAGAGATCTTTCCTATTACATAAGAATCTCTTTGCAGGAGCTTTGGCAATAGTGTGCAGAATACAGATGATATGTAAGTACTGTGGTTCCACTGTAATGGATGTCCTGTAAAATAACTCTGTGGATAACACTTTTCATGTTTTCTAGCTTTTCTGACCTTTTTTTCCTTACTTTCTTTGTATATACACCTCTTCCTTAAGCTTAGAGTTAAGTGTATCTGAACCAGGCTTCATCTGGTTCTTAAGTGAAAATACAGGTTTCAGACATTCTTGTCTAACTGGCTAGCTCTTCTCAATTTTTTTTAATTTTTTTTTTTTTTTTTATTAGGGATTAGCCATGGCTCTGTCGTAGCGGGAGTTATCGGTGCTAAGAAACCCCAATATGATATCTGGGGCAAAACAGTTAATTTAGCAAGTCGAATGGACAGCACAGGTGTTAGTGACAGAATACAAGTGCCTGAAGAAACGTATCTGATCCTGAAGGACCGGGGATTTGCCTTTGACTACCGAGGAGAGATTTATGTCAAAGGTATCAGTGAACAGGAAGGAAAAATCAAAACATATTTTCTTCTAGGAAGAGTTCAACCAAATCCTTTAATCTTACAACCAAGAAAACTGACTGGACAGTATTCATTAGCAGCTGTTGTGTTAGGACTTGTACAGTCTCTTAACAGGCAAAAACAGAAGCAAATCCTTAATGAGAACAATAACTCTGGAATCATAAAAGGACATTACAACCGGAGGACTTTGCTCACTCCTGGTGGATCTGAGGCAGCAGCCCAGGCAGAGGGGGCTGACAAAACTGAATTGCCATAATCAGCATTTTGTTTGTGTTCTTTTTTTTGTATTTCTTTTATATATAAAAATAAATATACAA